ACGGAGAGAAATTGGCGTCTTGGCTTCTAGTAAAATGACAGGACGAACACATAGGATCATAGCTCCAGCTGAGCAGGAAAAAGCTATGCGATATGCTCGAAGGACCACAGACTACTCTATCCTGGATAACATAGGTATAATAATGTTAAAAACCATCATTACAAAGCAATTCTCTCTCTGTATGTTAAAAGTTATTCCTTGCAGGAAAGGAGGCAGCGTGACCAAGTGGTCAGCATATCGGACTTACAATCTGGCGGTTCCGGGTGTGGTTGCAGGTCCGGTGGTCCTGAGTCCCTCTGGATTTGTTCTCATTTTTATGAATGGGATTCCCTGTTTAAATAAAGATGATTGATTGATTGAATAATTTTTGAAATTTCTGGTTAGATCAAAGTTTAGAAATAATTCACAATGACATCATGCTTTCATGTTATATTTTAGTAGTTAGAGGGATTGAGGGGGAGAATTGCATTGTTGAAATGGTTTCAGTTAATAATAATGCCATTAAGAATGGCGGGAACTACACTCCTGAAATGGTACCCATTTTCTCTTGTTGATAAAAAATGACGTTCAAGTGAAAAAAGTTTGATATTTACTGCCTGTTTTGTATTTTTTTCTCTTATCTTTTAGGTCATGGCGTAAAGACAACTGAGTCTCAAGTGACACGACGCAAGAGCTCAAGAAAGTTAAAACCACAGCCACAAGATACTCAAGCAGCGAAGGGCAGCATGCGGCAACAGTTCTACAAGCGACCAGCTATAAACACAAAACCTCCACCCCCTCCAGTACCACCCCCAATGCCCCCATCTGTACCACCTGGAACAATCATTGAAGCTGAACAACCCCCACCATACCCCTCTGTACCTACCACCCCTCCCCCACCAGAACCTCCATTCTCTTCAGGTAATGATGCCATGGTTGCCCCCCCACCCCCACCACCACCACCGCCACCACCCTCTGCAGGTCCATTTGTTCCATCACCCTCTGATATTCCAGCTCCTCCCCCACCCCCTGGGCCTCCAAACCCTCCCCGCCCCCCACCCCTTGGAGGGGCATTGTTGTCCCCACCCCCACCTCCTCCTTTGCCAGGTGCCGATGGAGAACCAAACCTAAACTCACCAGGTGAGGCATTTTGTTTTATTTGCTGGTTTTCATTTGCTTCGCAATAGCAGCCTTCATCATTTACTGCTATGATAATCTTTGCATATCTTAATTGTATGGTTGAACCTTGAGTTCAACTTTTATTGACACGGTAACCCTTACATTAGCCTGCATTTCAGACAGAATTTATCATAGTGGATAGTGTTTGCAAATTAGTGCACAAACTGTTGTTCTGACCTCAGAAAAACTGCCGAAATTTGAATGGTTGCCTGTGATTGTTCTTTCATGAACGTATAATTTGTGTTATTCTGAAGAAATAGGAATAAATAGAAGCAGCAGTGATCCCCCTCTGGAAGGATAAACCAATCACAAGGGATGTTCCCATGTTTTGTGATTGGTTTAGTTCTTCCACTTCTGCTTGTGACTCCAACGACCCAGTTTTCACTTGATCGTAAACGGTGGCAAATTCAGAAGGAATCAGAACGCTGTTTTCAGTAGACCATAGAGTTCTACGCTTCTGATTACAACTCCGACTCTGACTCCGACTCCATCACTAGTGAGAACTAGCCTTTGCTGAAGCTATCTTGTGGCAGTAGTACTTTATTTGACAATAACTTCATAAAGAAATCTGTAGACTACATTTTTGAACAAGTTCTTCAAGAAATGTCTGGAAAACAGTGCAGCTTTAAGTTAATGTAATGCCTATACTAGGTACTAAATATGTGTGAGAGACTAAACCCATTGCATACAATCTTTTTTTTCTCTACTTTAGATCCCACTGATACTTATGAATCTGTTGTCGGTAAGAAAAATGTTTAATTCATGTTGAATCATCAGGAAATTACATAATTGAGGGGTGTATGTGGTGGCCTTGAGTGACTTTTAATAAAATGCTAGATTCTCCTTTTAAATTATTTGTTTGTGAAACAGAAGGAGAATTGGCCATTTTACAGTTATGGATGGAAGTGAGGCTGAGGGTGACCTTGTTTTGGTACAAACCTTCCTGCTTTATTATGTAAATCAAGTTATTCTTATGCTAACTAGTATTTTTCAAGAACAATTTCCATAACAAAGCTAAGAAGGTTTGTATCAAAACAAGGTCACCCTCACCCTCGCTTCCATCCATAACTGTAAAATGGCCTATTTGACATAAATTTGAGTATCACACAGGGCCTTATTCAACACACACTTTCAATATTATTGTGTATTATGTTTCATGTACAGTATAGAGAAACTGGGAATTTTTCTAAGGTAGCTTTAAATTTTTTTGAAGGGAGAGTGTATTTTTTAAATGGGTTTAGGTTCTATTGGGGGGGGGTGACTCATTAAGGTCTTAAACAAAAGGTGTGAACTTGGCCCATGGCTTTTTTTTATACTTTTCCCTGTTTGACAAGTGTCCCCCATATCAATACCAAGCTTCTTTGTTTGAGTGATATCCAAAAGCCAACCAAGGACATCCCTTTTCTCCTTTGTTCAAAATTTAAGTAAGCCTTGGATACTCTTTTATTTGGCAGGGTGCACATAACAACCCAGTCATTCCCATTGATTTTAGAACTGTTCCAATGACTCCCTACAAATCCTTCTAAAATCGATTCGCTTGGACCTTAATGTTTACAACCCTGGCCCATTATAGAAGGATTTATTTGTAGAAGGAGTCATCGAGGCACAACGGTGCTTATATCTCCTTTCTGGATGTCCCAACCTATCTCATATTGAATATTTTCCAGAGTTGTTGAAACCTCTTTGAGACTTTATTTTACAGAAGAATAATTCAAGTTTTGCCCAACACTGTTAACAATACTAGGATCTAGTTCAATTATTTAAGAGTATACGTCTTTTTTTCTGTGGTTTTAGATGCTTTGAGTCCATTTCCCCCACCCCCTCCTGCTGCGGAAGATTTTTACCAGTCCCCATCATCACTTCCGATGCCAGCGCCACCTGAAGACATGTACCAGACTCCTCCTCCTCCTACAGATACACAGCCCTGGATGCCTAAAGACTATATTGAAAAGGGTAGGTTCCATTACCTTGAAACTTTTATTGGAAAGGTGGGGTTTGGATAACTTGAAACTATATTCGAAAGGGGGGGTTGGATATCTTTAAGCAATATTGGAAAGGCAGGGTTTGGATACCTTGAAACAGTAATGGAAAGGCGAGGTTTGGATGCCTTGAAACTATATTGGAAAGGGTGGTTTGGATATCTTGAAACAGTATTGGAAAGGAGGGGTTTGGATACATTGAAACAATATTGGAAAGGTTGTGTTTGGATACCTTGAAACTATATTGGAAAGGTGGGGTTTGGATATCTTGGAACAATATTGGAAAGATAGGGGTTTGGATACCTTGAAACTATATTGGAAAGGTGGGATTTGGATACCTTGTAACAATATTGGAAAGGTGGGGTTTGGATACCTTGTAACAATATTGGAAAGGTGGGGTTTGGATACCTTGCAACAATATTGGAAAGGTGGGGTTTGGATACCTTGCAACAATATTGTAAAGGCAAGGTTTGGATACCTTGCAACAATATTGGAAAGGTGGGGTTTGGATACCTCCAGAGCTTAAAGATAACTTGAATTCCAGCTTGTAGTTTGGACAAGTAGGTCCTATGGTTTTCTTGTCTGAGTCCATTGCTTACTTGCTTGCCTGAGGCAGTGATTAAGTTACAAGCACATGATTTACATGCCTGTGTGTGTGTTTTTGTGCTGCGCGTGATTTTGTTCCTGCTGCAGGTGTCCTGTGCGTGTTTAGCTCGTGATTTTGTGGCTGTTTCAAGTTGCTGCATCATGTCCTTGTACCATTATGTCTCCCGACCATTAAACTGCAAAAGATACTTTATACATTCTAGATGGCTTTTACGGAAAGAAAATGCTTAAACGATGGAAAATGACAAACTGTTTACTTTCTTTCAGTGATTTCGCTGTATAGTTATGAACAGCAAAGAGATGATGAACTTACCTTCTCAGAAGGAGTCATTATATATGTCGTCAAGAAGAACGATGATGGCTGGTTTGAGGGAGTCACAGAGGGAGGAACAACTGGTCTCTTTCCTGGAAACTACGTGGAAGTTTGCCTTTAATACGAAACAATTAACATCTGTATTTTTCTAATAACAGAAGGGTTATTATAGACAAAACTTAGATTTGAGATGACTAAGTAGACATAAGTCTTTTTGTTTTCAGGTAGAGTTATTAGGTTTCATTGGTCATCAAAACCAAGTTGTTGAGAGCGAATTTTAGACAATTATTGGATCAGACTTTTGTGTATCCAGAATAATCAAGGTTGAGGTAAGTGTTATTGGCCGAGGCTGATAACACTTACCAAACCTTGACTATTCCGGGTATCACAAAAACTGATTTGTTATACATTGTTTTGAAGAAAATAAGGACAAAGACAGCATCGCATGGGATACAGTTTGACATTGCTTTGGAAATCATGCATTGTGTGCACAACCTACAGATTAGTCAGTAATCTCGCTTCTAGCAGATAACTATCTGTAGGCAGTAATGATTTCCAAACTAACTGTAGGATCTAAGCCAGTGAGAAGACAGATAGTGAGTACAATGTATAATATTTAACAATTATTCCTCGAGCCCGAATGGGCTCTGAGTCAATAGCCCATAAAGCCGAAGGCCGAATGGGCCATTGACTCAGAGGCCATGAGGGCGAGAGGAATAATTGTTTTAGTAAAATCCAACTAGTTGGTCAAAAATATCGAGAATAAAAAAAATTTAGCTAGTTAAAAGCTAGACTTTAATCCTTTTTTGCCGCCAAAAAGCCCGCGCTTTTCGCTAATAGGGGGCTATAACATATAGCCTAGTAGTAGCTCAACCAATCAGAATGCAGCATTGAAGATAGACCACTACTTGGATTTTACTTAAACTCGATATACTGGTGTGCCTGGAGTGAAGTTGCTTTTCCCATGATTGTGGACAAAGGAAAAGCGTGCTAAATGAATGGATGATTAACTTAAACTCAACTTGTAGAGTTTAATTTGCAAGTTCCAGTGATTGGTTGAGGCACATTTAGTGGAGGAGACTTTTTATGAAGGCCCGAAAAAAATCAAGCACAGAAACAATTTTGCTGCAGTTCCTTGACCGTTAACAATCTTTTGTTTCTTAGGTCACACACTGTGACCGAATAAATGAATGAGTCAGCTAGGTCCAAATAGATCACAATGCTTTTCAGTGTTGTGCATGGTCACATCAGAAAAAGCGAATAAAACATATAGCAGATTCATAAGAAATGACCGAGGGGAAAAATATGTATTTGTAAATATCCATCTCATGTAAACTGTTGTTATACCGTTTGGTTCTCTTTCATTTACAAAGATGTTAGGTATTCCCAAATTAAAGTCGGTAGCTGATTTTTATAACTTGAATTGGAAAGTTTTGGAAACCCTAATTATGTGAAGAAAGGCGTGTTGAAATATATTTAAAATAATATTCATATATTGTTCTTACGGTGTCTTGGTTAGTAGCACCATGCATTTTTTGGAAATCAAATTACAATTAATTTAGAAAATTTTTAAATGCTCCAATTATATTTTGGAACTTTTTTGGCATTATGATCTGGTAATTTGTAGTAGTGTAGAGACGCGAGCAGCTTTTTCTTGCGGTTGTTTCCCCCTTCATTTGGCGAAGAACACTTTTTAACTAGCAAATGTTTAAGCTTTAGAAGAACGCTATAAACATACGACTTTTTTTGACGACGACATGCCACCATTATCAAATGCAAATGAACAGAAAAATACATAGAAACAAAGATTTGAAACAAAGGTTACATGTAAAATGTGAAGAGCAAAAAAGAAATGAAATAACTAAGTGAACATTTTCGCTGAAAACGAGCAACAAACACTAAATACTTAGTCGATAGAAGGACAAACCAAAACCGCCGGGAAAGACTGTAGTTTTGCATTCGTTTTTATTGATAATTCCTTTAGCTGTCTTGGATACTTTTTGAGGATAATTTTGTTGTTTCGCTCATTCCTGATATACCATGGGCCGCACTAAGGCTGTGTCTACGCTACACCGGATAACGTTATGTACGTACCGACATGAAAAGCTGTGCAGTACCGTAAGAACGGCTACAGCACAGAACTGGAACAAGTCGTTCACACACATGGAACATCGATTATACCGTGCCTGATGGGTTGGCCAAGAGGGTTAAATCTCAATCGCCACCCCTGAATATTTACTTCCGTATCAGTTGTCTCCAATGCTCGCTTCTACGTACTCATTTACTTCTGCTGCGTTCCGAAAACCTGTTCACACTGCGAGGAGGAGTGGCAGAAACCTATCTGGTGATGATCCACTTTCAAAATCGACGCGTGTAGAAATCTCCATTCTTATATGCGAAGTGAAGCCCTATCAAGCGTGATTTTCTTTTCTGCGCAAGCGCTATCCGGTACAGTGTGAACCATTCTCGTCCCCAGAGCCCGTCGTTTCTTGGTCACAACAAATCAAGCCGAGTGGCACTGGGGACGAGAATGAGTGTGAATATAACCTTGCTCCAGAACAGGCGTTATTTGCCGCGTTTTTTTTTTTCAGGGGAGCGAGGGCAAGCTCGAGGCGAGGAGCGATCCACGTCCGCATCGCGCTTTCTTTGTTCGCCTGAAAACCCCCCCAAAAATAATGCTTGTTCTGTATGCTACTGAACACGTAGCTCATAGTTAAAACGTGAGGTGCTTATGGTAGCATTTCACTGTTAGATTTGTATTATAATACGAAATGAATCATAGCGTGTACATAGCATTAATACATGAATATCTTCAGATCTTTATAAAGAATTGTCTTTGATAATGTTTAAGCCTTGTCTCGTTAATCTTTTTCGGTTTTGTCGCATGGCTGATTCCGTGAAAAATCAGTGCCTGTTTTAGTTACGCTGGAACAGACATACCCTTACTAGTAAATTTGGTGATCTCAATTACGGTCCAACAACTCCACACAGACACGAACATCTGTTACGGACAGTCTGTTCTACTGGTCCCAAGAAAGCAAACCTTATCATATAATCCCTTCCTCCTCGGGACCGACTTTGGCACCCTTGACTTGGGACGAACGCTCGATAAAGTTTTTTTCTCTTTTTTTAGGGCAAAAATCTGCTTGTCTTTATACCTTATTATGAAAAATTTAAAAACGTTTCATTTAAGTCGCGTTAATTTTTGTTAACGTCAATTTCCACAGTCTTGACTGCCATTATTTTGGCCCTAAATTCTCGATACACTTTTGACGTTCTTGACACCTATGAAAGAGAAGTATTTATTTAGGGGTGGAGATCGGCCAATATCAGTCAAACTGTGAAGAAGACTCGAAGTGACCAGTTTTCTTTGCTTGACCTATTCTTTTTACGCATGGGGGAAGTTTCCATTTCGGGTTATACGTTTACAGCGTAACTTTGTTCCAGTTGTCTCAGAAAGTTTTGTTTCTTTGTGAACGTCGCGTTAATTTATTTCATGTTGAAATGTTATCCTCTCTTTCTCATTAACTTCCTTTGTAAGAAAGTCGTTGTCCCTTAAGTTGGCGTTAATTTCCAATCTAATTCCGTGAACAATTTTAGACCCGATCTTAGACACGTTTTGGTAAATCTAATTTTCGCGATCCAAACTTAGTCACTTTCTGTTTATGTATAAAGCCTCCGGAAATGAATTGACACATTTGTTGAACTTAATTAATGCAGTAAAGATCTTCCCATTTTGAAATTTCTAATTTCCGGAATATTCTTATCCCCCAAATCCCGAGATGTTCGACCCCATTCTAGTAACTCTATTGACAGTGCAACCCCATTATAGTCAATCCAGTTGTGAAAATGAACCCTATCCAGGGGTACATCCCCATAAGCCTGTTACTGGGAAATACCCCCCCGGAAAAGGCCTGGACATTGAAAAGGACAATTTGGCTAACATTCTAACGATTTTCTGCAACCAGCGCAGGCGCTGGAGATAGGTGGAATCCCTCTGTGGACTGTATATGCGTGTATTTTGACTAAGCTATGTGTCATGAGTCATGCCCGGGAGGGTACCGTATTTCCTCGAATAATAGCTGTCCCTCGATTAATCACCTCCCTCGAATAATCGTCCCCCTTTGACGGAAATGTTTAAAATAATCGCCTCCCTCGAATAATCGCCCCCTTTTGCTGCAAAAAAAGAAATCATCGCCCTGGCTGTTATTCGAGGAAATACGGTAATCAAGAAAGTTTCTTACGGGGAAACTCCGCCCGACCCTTACCCTTTTATACACCATTTTATAATACAGTAAAACCTCTATTAAGCGGACACCTTCGGGAAGGACCTTCCCAAGTGTCCACTTAATAGAGGTTTGTAAAAATTGCGCAATGTTTGTTAACGATCATGACATTCAGCAGTTACTCTGTACAATGATTAAGGCCCTTTTCAAACGTCGTTCTTCTGCCGTGCCGAACTTAAATGATCGAATTAAATTCGACTTAGCACGGCAGTAGCGCGACGTTTGAAACTAAGTCGTGCTCCTGCCGTGTAGCACGGCAAGCCTTGCCGTGCTACAAGGCAGTAGCTCGACTTAGTTTCAAACGTCGTGCTACCGGCGTGCCGAACTCAATTCATGAATTATAAATACATTAGAATTTTTTTAAAAGTTTGCTAAACCGTTTTTTCATTTTTTTGTTTTGTTTTTGGCAATAGCCGTTCCATTCGACTGCCATTGTGCAGGGGCACCCAACGAGAATATAGTTCAAAACCACTTAAACATAGCATTGTTAAACGTATTTAAACGGTAGATATTGGATTCTGTCTTAATTTTTCTCGGGATTTTGACCTGAATGAGCAATAGGACGGGTTGACAGTAAGAGTACTTTTGTCTTAATACTGATTCCTACTGTATTCAAAAGAAAATAAGATGACCTTAAAAGTTTTTATCCACCAAATTCACATGACATCACTGCCGCCAGGAACAAATGTAACCCCCAAAATTATTTCTTGTCGGGATAATACAGAGGCACCCAACGACAATTTTCGGAAAATATCTGTTCGGAAGACGATTTGAGATCTAGAATTTTCGGAACATTTGTTGTAAAATTTCTTGTTTGCCTGCCTCTCCTAGGATTTTCGAACATCATAAAAAACGGTATAATTGCCCATTTTTAACGGATTTTTACCCTTAAAAGGTCACCTAGAATTTTCGGGAGCTTTTTTTCTGGCTGAAATTTTCGAAAAGGTAAGTTTTGATCCCTATAATTTTCGGATCACTAGACTTTCAGCTAGGAAATCCGAACAGATGAAAAATCATTTTAGGGGATAAAAATATGCCTATATCTACCGTTTAATACTAAAATACGTTTAACAATGATATGTTTAAGTGGTTTTGAGCTAAATTCTCGTTGGGTGCCCCTGATAATACTCTGATTCCATGAAAATCAATTATAAGGCATTGAATAATCACGGATTTTTTAAAGCCTGAGAAAGCCGCCAAAATTCCACGACGCCGCCACTAGTTACCCTGAGAATCGAAAGACGAGGGAAAACCAGTGGTGGAGTCGTGAAATGTGGGCAGTTTTCTCAGGCTGAGTTTTCTGAACTTTCCATAGTTTGAACTCAGCTAAAAGGCGATAAAATATGCGATTCACATTGGAACTAAATTGACAATTATAGGAGGTCCAAAATGAAAGCTAACGAATTTGTAATAGAAATTAAAATCGAAGAACACTATACCTTTTTTCAAAAGTAACTTAGTCCATGCAATCGTTTCCTGAGCGCTCAGAAGCCAGTCGTCAATGAGAAGTGCTGACGTGTACTTGGAGTTTTGAAGGTCTGTTTTGAGACGAGAGCCGGAGGGCCCTTACCAGAATTTTTCGTGTTTTTATCCTGATCTTTTATTTCAATGAAATACTGTAAGGAAGAAATAAAATGATTATTTACAAATATCTGTGGGGAACTGAAATAGGAAAGACCAAACTTCCGTTATCACAGAAACGAAGAATTTGGTTGGCATTTAACGAAGAAGTACCTATTTTCCTTAGATCATTACAGAAAAGCAAATGAAGTTTTTTTTAAAGTTATTTATTATTCCATTATTCAAATCGAAAGAACCGCACGATACAGTTCGATACATACACCATCCAAATCAAGAATAAATAATAAAAATTGAAATATTTTTAAACAGTCAAAAAACAAGTTGAACTATCCCACTTCTTCCATTCAGGCCTAAATCTCAAATTAAAGTTCCGTTTTGCTCGACTTTAGGTCCTTTAGTTTCGTGGTTCCTAATCTTGGCAGATTTCAATCTCGCCTGACAAGCGCGTACGTTGCTCACTCCTGCAAGGCCACTTGTATATTATTTGCAGGAAAGCAGAGTATCCAAAATAACCTAAAATAATAATTGGTTCAGCAACCTATGAAATACCCAACAAAAGACTAAAACAAGAAAGAATAGAAACTGAGTGGAAAAAGTTGTCCTTAATCTTATGTTTATTGAGCTATTCAAATCAAATTATTTTCTTTTGAGTATAAATAGTTAATATTACAGTTGTATGAAGTTCTGAAAATTTTACGTAAAATGATCAAGCAAGGATCTTCTTTTACCTTATTTCGCGTTTTTCGCGATTGTGGAAAAATCCCCGCAAAATTTAATATACCCATATAGAAAATTCAAATCACTGGAAAAAAAATGAATGACATTAATGTAATATCTATAACATTTGTAAACTTTACATGATGTATGTATGGACAAATGAGGACAAGTTATTAGCTTGTTTTACTGGTGCGTTCCAATCCGTAATTGTGCCTTCTGTGGCATGTTGAGAAATAACGTCAATATTGCGTTTTGCTTGTTTCATTTTATCTCGATATTTTTAAAAGGTCAGAAGATTGAAAACTAAAATCAAGTTGAGAACGCTTGAATCGCGACTTTTAATGCCTCTTTTCATATTTGCGTATTAAAATCGCACCCCGGGAAATACTTTCTTGCGGCAGGATTAGCTCAGTCGGTAGAGCGCTTGACTGCAGAGGGGGAGGTCGCGGGCTCGATTCCAATCCTCAGGGTCTTAAAATCACTGAGAAATGATGGTACTCCCTTTGCACCGCAAGCAGTTGGACCTTCGCGTGGCTCGGATAACCAAGTAAAATGGCGGTCCCGTCTCCCGTAAAAAATAGTGTCCCCAATTAGTACTTTCGTGCTAAAGACAGTGACACTCAAAGAGCATTCTTGCCAAAATCGCGAAATTAAAGTACCGATGAGGTACACTCCGTCGACCTCAAGTTTATGAGTGAAATCACAGTCTCGACGTTAAATATTGTTGCTTTACCTTTTTTTGTCTTCAACAGGGACCGGAAGGGTATTTCTGGGATCCGGGATTTGACCAAAATACTGAGCGCGGTATCTCAGTTCGCGCGGGAAACATTAACGGGATTCGGGATAAGACTGCGACCCGAGGAAGCGGGATTTGCCAATGATTAGGGCACGGGATGCGGGATTAGGAAAGAAAACGATATTCAGGATAGAGAGGAGATGACAACAGTTCGGGATGCAGGATTCTCGTGTCTCTCTTTGACAGTAGCAGCCTGGGAAAACATCCGTTTCTCCTCGCTCTTCGCCGCTGGGGACGTTTCGCGCGGAGGAACGACGTTCGTCCTCGCGAAACGTCCCCAGCGGCGAAGAGCGAGGAGAAACGGATGTTATCGCAGGCTAAGTTCCATGTTGTTGAGGAAACTAAGGAAGATGTACTTTGCGCAAGAGTTTTAGGTGAACTTTGATTGCTGATGACAATTATACTTCCGGATATCGGTCTAATCTACAGCTTATTGACAGCTAAATGTATTGATTTATCTTTATTAATCGACTTCAGTACGTATTTCAAGGAAGTAATCCAAAACTACTATTGTCAATTCAGTCTGGTGTCCGCTTAAATAGTGGTTTTTAACAATAGAAATTATCCGCCGCCTGGTTAGCTCAGTTGGGAGAGCACCGGTCTGTTGAGCGGGAGGTCGCGGGTTCAAGCCCCGGCCGGACCAACACTCAGGGTCTTAACGATAACTGAGAAGAAAGTGCTGCCTTTGTAATGACATCTGCAAATGGTTAGACTTTCTAGTCTTCTCGGATAAGGACGAAAAACCGTAGGCCCCGTCTCACAATCCTTGCCTATATTAATACTGTGGGACGTTAAAGAACCCACACACTGTTCGTAAAGAGTAGGGGTCGTAGACCCCGGTGTTGTGGTCAACCTTGATATACGGATCCTTCGCGTGATGCTGTACAGGCTTTGCGAAGTAATATAGTAGAAGTAGAAGTAGAAGTATCCAAGTATTTTAGTATCCGCGTCCGCTTAATAGGGGTTCGTTATAGAGGGAAATATAAGACGCTAATTTCGGGACCCGGCTTAGTGTCCGCTTAATAGAGGGTGTCCGCTTAACTGGGGGTCCGCCCAATAGAGGTTTTACTGTCTGAATAAATCACAAAAGCAGAACGTTCCCAGTCTTTCTCACAGCGATAAAACGCATGTGTAAGCCTTTTGGGCCTTTCATCGACCGAAATGACAGATTTCTCTACCCTTTCATATACTTCAACTAGTGAAATCCTTTCGTACCCTTTCATATACCTGCGGCCTGTGAAAGGAAGCCCTTTGGGCGGGGCCTTCTAGTATAGGGCGTTATAAGGAGTACCCCCGGGGGTTCATGGCTGTATCCCAGACGACCTTCTCTACGAACCCCAGAAGTCCCATGACAACTTAAAGGTTGATCTCAAGGTTACTGTCATGCTGAACTACTGAAATCAGTTCATAAAGTCCTACACGGAAATACTGTCTACAATCTCCCTTTCCCCTATGGGGAGGGGGGAGGGGGAAGGCTGCACACACGCTACACGGAAAACTGCGAATGGTGATGGTATTCACGGTGACCGGTCGTTCCGCCAACTAGTCGTTACTTTCGCCTACGTCCTCTTAAGTCGTTTACTTTCTTAAATGTTAGGTCGTTTCGCTCGCATGTTATAAGTCGTTTCGCCAACGATTTTCTCGATTTTCTTTCATGGTTAACTGATATTACCATCACTGAGTGTGATCAGAACGTTGGTGAAACGGCCTAACTCGCAAGCGAAACGACTCAAGACGCTGGCAAACAGGTCGAGGATTCAACCATAAACCCTATTCCCAGTCCTTACCTCTCAAGTCCATTGTACACTCCTGAATTTCCATGTCACAGCGCATGATCCAATGGTGTTGCGTTTGGCGCCGTTTAATCGGCGCCGTAAATCTGTGATCGTCAGCATGGAAGATAGGTAGCTTGCAAAAAAGAAACTGGAAATTTCCCTGAAATTTTTGCCATAATGGGCATTGTTTTCTCAAGATGGAGGGTTAGTGTTTGAGTTTTGCCTTCTGGGCTGTTGCCGCGTTTAACTGAGCTGTTGAGAAACATTCGATTGATGCTAAGTGGTAAAAGTACAACCACTACCTCGATCGCAGCTTTCATTACAAAAGCTTATTAAATCACGGTAAACGTCTTATTGTTTTATAGAAAAAAGAGTCATTAGGGGAAGTTTTAGAGGTCCTAGAGAAGGTGAGAATTTTTATTATTAGAGGTAGAGGTTTTATGCAGTTGGAAATATGTTGATTTGCCACGTTTATTTTGGTAGATCTCGCACTTAAACTCATTGTGCAAGTTTAACCAACCTTAGCTTGAATGTTTCTTGCTTCCTGGTTTTTCTTTGTTGTATGAACGGAGTTAAATCAGTGCTGTAGAAGCCATTTTTCTAAGCATTATGATGCCTTGTTGGATAATTTTCACAAAGGTTAAATGTGCTCCCACAGCCAGAGTAATAATTACCAAAATTTTTAAACAATGAGGAAGCTAAATTATTTTACAATCAACGGCACAAGTCTGTAGTAGCTGAGGTTTGATTTTTCAGTTAAAGTGCCCTTAGATACATATACATAACACCACTATTGAGAATGGGCTTGTCGAAAATTACCCGTTTATTTTGCCAGACAAAAAATAATTGTTATAAAAAGAATTAAATAATTAATAACTTACGCCAAATTTTATGAGCAACTATTGGTCACAAAATCGATGTTGTCAGAGGTCTATACGACTTTTAACTGTGGTCTTGTAATATTCTGAATTAAGTTTCACTGATCGCCTGATCATATTGATGCATAAGCTTACTTATTTTGAAATTCACAAAGTACACAAATTTCATTTTGAAAAAAAAAAACAGTAATGTTCTTTGAAAATGTCAAAATGCCAATGAATATGATTGCAAAGTAGAGGTGTACAGTTGTAGATTTTCCAAATCATTTTAAACTATGTTTTCTATTTAATAACTCCGTTTAGTTTGTCACAGGTAGAGCAATTCATTACAACTTAAATAAAAATGTTTTGGAAATAATGCATTTTTTTTGTATATGATTATTGAAAGTGAAATATTTTAAAGCTCTTCTGTGCTGCTAGTGAGGAAATGAATATTCAGGAAGGTAAAATTAAGAAGAGCAAAGAGTCATTTGCCTCCCGATGTCTGTTGCCAACAAATTTTCATCAAGGGCTAGTTTGCAATAATTACGCTTGAATATTATCACATGTGTAGAGGAGGAGAGTGCTATTTTGAGAGTGATATTTCTTCAGTAAGCAATACAGGTGACTTTGAAAAAGGAATCAAACCTATGACCTTCTTGTTGCAAGTCCAGATGCTGTGCCATTGTGTTTACTCATGGTAGTTAACTTGCTAGGCTCTGTGTGTACATCGTCTTTCCAGACGTTTGTGGTCAGTGTTTTTTGTTTACGTATCCAAGATGAAGAGCCGCAAGACAAGAAACAAGAAAAAAAATCAAAAACTCACCTGGAGCATGTGACCAGAACTGCATAGGCTACTTGGAATAATGTTGCCTAGGGGCCAGGCATCAAGGCTCTCCGTGAGGAAGTCGAACTCAGCAACACGCATACTGCTTATGTTATGCACATTCCCAACACATTTAGTCTAATCTCGGCAAGAAACAACTGCAAGTGAAAATTCCTATGGCGCTTCTCTTCAGTCAACTTCATTTTAATAATGTTACTTCTGATGCTTTTTTCCATGGTGGCCATCTTGTTATGCACAGTAAGAGATGCTAAGTGCAAAACTAATGAATCACCTTAAAACCACAGTTTTTCTAGCTCCCATTGCCCCCTCCAATGCCTTTCTATAAATATTAAGTTTGTTATTGTAACAATATTTCCTTTGCTTTTGTCTTTACAGGATCTCAAAGCCTTAGAATCAAGTCAGCAGAGGACAGAACAGCTTCGAAAGAAATTCATTGGCTCTTTAATTCTCTACTCTATCCTTCTCTATGTTGTGGCAGCTCTTGTGTGTTATTTTTACGATTTTCCAAAGTCTTGGAAAGCAAGAGCAGTTCGTGCAATTCCACTTCTTGTGTTTCCTATTGTGTAAGTAAACTATTCTTAAGCTTAAACATACTTTCATCAGGGGTTTGATTCTGTATAGCAGGGTTGTCATTAAGACCCGGGGGCTGGGTATTTTCCCCGGCTACTAAGAGAGTGGCCCCCGGCTACTTTTATTGGAAAATAGAAGAAAAATAGAACCAAAAAAATCCCTAGCCATTTGATTCCCTGCCTACTTGTTGTATTTACGCGGTAACTTGAAATATTAGTGACAACCCTGGTATAGTATACACTTAATGTCAGATCCCGAGAGAAACAGTTAGTTTTGTTTTCCCAAGAGTCCTGATGTTTCCCTTGACTTCGTCTCTGGAAAACAGGACTCTTGGGAAAACAAAACTAACTGGTTTCCCAAGGAACCTTACATGAAGTGTTTTCAAAAGTTGGTTGAGTTTGATCGTCCGGGTGAACGTAGTCCTGAATAGGACTGTTGTTGTTGACAGTCACTGACGTTTCGACAACCTGTGCGGTAGTCATCTTCAGAGTCAACGTGAGTTGTATCACGTCAGTTGATGGTATTATACTCTGGTTATTGATCTGATTGGTCAAATACGTCGTGATGTTATTGGTCGTCTGTCAGTTAAGCTGTGATGTTATTGAAGAAAGGTTTGGCGCCTAGTTAAAGAAGATTTTTATTGGAATTTTTTCATTCTTCTCTGAGATATTGCACTTGTTTGGGTATGGTTTGAATGGTCTATAATTCCCCTTCACAAGTTAGGTGTCAAAGTTGTCTGTTGTCCATAATTCAGGGCTTGAAAAAAGTCCCATCTGGTCCAGGACAAGTAGAATGTTGCTGTAGTTAATTTTTTAGCTCAGGTAATTTTTCTTTTTCTTTTGTGTTTGGGTATGTTGATGCATACTAATGGTGTTGAAACAAAAGAAAAGTAAAATTTACCTGAGATGAAAAATTAATTACAACATTGTCTTGCTGGGAAAGTAACTATTAAAGCTCATTCACCCAATGGGCAAGGGTATAGGCAAGTCATCCTCTAACAAAATCATTAACTAAGATAAGCAAGCCACATGTGAGAACGGCTTGCTCAAAGGACACACTGAAATTCATGTTTTTTTTTCAAGCCCTGCCATATGAGGGTTGAAAATGTTGATGTCATGAGTGGCAAAAGGGACGTGGTTCAATATGGGTAGTCAGCAGTTGAAGCGTAAATTTTGTAGTTCAATTTTGCTCATGGTACAAATTGTTTGTGGACCTGTGCGACTATTTTTAAACTGGTACAATTTTTTTTACCAGTTTAATTTTTGTTAACCAGTTTCCAATCAACTGTCTGAAAAAATCAGGAAAAGTACAACAATGAAATGGTAACCCAAAGCCAAAAAAAAAAAACCTAGAAATTTAAAGTTGGAGAAATTGCCTCTATAAAAATTGATTGTGTCGACAAGACGTCACCTCTGCATTCAAACCTTCTGTTTCAAGAAGTAAAAAAGTCATTACTGTGGGCCAATACTAATGTTGTTTGTTTGACTGAGAGGAAAAGCAATGGGTACCAAACGTTAATTGAAAGTTAACCATTAACATTTATCTGTAAAATGAGTGCTTAACGCTAATCAGTGAAATGAGTGCGTAACCCTAATTAGTAAAATGAATGCTTAACCCCAAACCCTTACCCTAAATATCTGGAAACTAAAACTATTTCTTAAAAAGATACAATGAAACCACTTCAATAAATTTTGTACTGGATCAATAATTTTGTACCAGTTTAAAAATAATTGTACCGGTACAAAGGCAATTTGTACCCTGTGAAAAATTGAACTACAACACAAAAACAGTAAATGATAACAATAATTTATTTTCTCCTTTCCAGGGTGTATTTGTTAAAAAGAGTTCTTCATTATGTGTTTGTGAGCAGAATGAGTAAGAATGGTAAGTAACTTTCTTGTTACTTCTTGTTGTTTCTTTAGATGTGATTTCTCAAATCACATCTAAAAGTCATGTGTGCAGTATCCAAGAAATTAATCTAGTCAGAAAGAAAACTAAAGCTTACTAGTTTGAATCACTCAGTGACCAGTTGCCTCTGGAAGCAAGACTACTAGATGTATGAGTGAAATTTGTTAGTGAGGGGTCTAACTGAAAGCTTCATTTCATCAACAAGCAAATCCAGTGTATAAAAGTTTAAAACCTTTCATTAATTTTGTCATGTATCCAAATGAAACATGAAAATATTGCCACAATCTTTGGCTCGTCTTCAGCCATTATTGTCCCAATTAAAAAAGTTTTCCTTTGGTGACTTTTTAGCAGCTTTAAAAAAAGGGCCCTCTGTTTGGGTATATTATAATAGTATTTTTTGTCTCCTACAGCTAGAAGGCTGGAAGAGTTAAAAGACAAGAAAAGACAAGTTGTAAGTCAAGAGTAATGTTGATTTAAGGACAGAAACCATTGTCAGCTTGAAAATGTTTAAATTTTAGCTGTTTCCCAATTTACGTCAAAACTGCCTGCATAACCTTAATTTCTGTCAAATAATTTTGCCTGGTCTTGGAAGTATCACTTGTACTCTTTTGATTGGTGAAACCGTCAAGTCACCATTCAGTTTTTAAATACTTTTACTTTCATTCGTAAACTGTGTCAGAACCTTTTTTGTTCCCTTTTGGACAAAAGCAATAAATATTCTAAAAACACCAGTCTGAGTACTTTTAAAGCAGCGTGGGCGAAGTAAAAGAAACTTTCACACAGTTTTTCTCTCCATGGTTAACCATGTCCACACTGTGAAATACATCAAAGTGTTTCAAAGTTTTGCAAAGACACTGATGTATCAACATTGTACCTTAAAAGTCATCATTTCACCAAGATGTTATTTGTTTATTGCTATTTAAATTGATTGCCATTTTTCCAGGTAATATTAGACAGAGTTTCCACCTTTAATTCCTTAACAATCAATGTCACATTAAGATAACTCTTTGTTCTTCAGCTTGAAGAAGTAATGGAGAAGGAAACCTACAAAGCTGCAAAGGATCTCCTTGATAAATATGACCCTAACTCAGAAATAGTCAAGGTACAATAGTAACATAACTATAGTAGTTCCCCCTCCGAGTAAAGAGAGAGGATATTTTATTGTGTCAACTTAAGCAAGCATTCTGTGAGCTGATTTTGGTCTTGCCAACCCACTCAGTTCTATGTATTCTTTCTTAGAATGGCTTTTTGAGCTTCAGAAATTTATTCAAGAAGCTGTGTTGAGTGATTTCCTTGTTTTGAAAGTACTAAACCTGAAGAAACACCGAATCCACCTTAACCTGTTTTTCTATAATTATATTCAAAGTAAAAATGTTGGAATCAAAACCCACAGTGATGCACTCTGCATCCTATGTTTGAATAAGAAAACTTTGAAAATCATTTTTTCATTAAATGGGAGGCATAAGGTACCGTATTTATTCGAATAAGCACCCAACCTCGAATTAGCGCCCACCTCGAATAAGCGCCTACCCTAAAGGCAGAAAAAGTCAATAAGCGCCCAGCCTCGATTAAGCGCACACCCCCACCCCACTTCCTATCACTTCACACCCCCCAAAATTGAATGAGTACTAATAAGATACTTCTCCGAAGACGGAGTTTTCTTTAGAGTATTTTACAGAAACTTTGCTTTGTTACATCTTCGCGTTTTGTTTTTACTATTTATTGTTTTGATGCAAAACAAACATACTACACTTGCTGAAAATGTTGAAAATTTAATAAGCGCCCGGCCTCGAATAAGTGCTCACCTCCAATAAGCGCCCACTCTCAGGGTCCAAATATTTAATAAGCGCCCAGGGCGGTTAATCGAATAAATACGGTATATATAATTTGTAAATGATTTTATCTTTGGTTTAAACAAGAGTCAATGTATGGACTGTCGGCCAAAAAAGTGGCGGTCGTGGAGAAGTTGCCATTAGTTGAAGTTCGACTGTATAAATATTACATAATATAAACATAACCATTGACTCTTTAGGTGGAGAAGAAAGAGGTGACACCCTTGTCTCCAATGCCAGCTGAAGCAAAACGCCCAATGGGCACAATTGGAACAGGTTAGAGATGGACTCGTGAAATAAAATATATATACGGTATTCTCCATATACTGGTATATTTTAGTTTTTAAAATTCCACACCTCTTCAAATTCCTTAATTTTGGTCTTGAGAAAGGGCATACTTTTTGAAATGTGGCTGCTATTTAATTTCTTTTGGATGACCGCAAGTCATTTTAAAGTGTGGAATGAATATCTTAAACTTATATGTGAGCAGGTTTCCAGGGTTGTCACTAAGATGTCAAGTTGCCGGGTAAATAACAACAAGTAGGCGGGGAATCAAACGGCTAGGGATTTCTTTTGGTTCTATTTTTCTTCTATTTTCCAATAAAAGTAGCCGGGGGCCACTCTCTTAGTAGCCGGGGAAAATCGTCGGCCCCCGGCTCTTAATGACAACCCTGGGTTTCATTAGAGGTGAGAACAATTTTGAGATTGTTTCATTATAAACTGGTAGACAGTTATTCAACGTAATAATATTATTCAGCACAAAATCCTATGCCTGATTAATGGAGAGATTTAGAATCGTCTTTACGTCAAATGGCAAACATAAATTTGTACCATCCGATGTGACCAAGCTTTCCCTTGACCTGTTCATTATCTCTTTAAAATAAATTAATTAGCTCAGCTGGAATTTGCCTTGTGTTATATTATTAACAGTGGCCATGCTTTTGTTAATAAAATACTATTGCCCTGTGTATAAAATAAAAAAAACAAACAAACTGCCTATTATAAGATACTATGAACTAACCTCTTCAGCAACTGCACTTAACATAAAACAGGATGCTTGAATCAAATGCTAATGAGAAAAACTGAGTAAATCTTAGACAGACCTGCACTTGCTGTGTGGGTGAAAGTGATACTAATACAGTAAAACCCTGCTCTACAGACACCCACTTAAAACAGACACCTGTAGATAATGGACAGTTTCATTTGTCTCAACAAATAGCTCATTATTTTCTCCAAAATTATTTTGCATAATACAGATTCCAGCTAATATGGACAATGCACACTTTACTTTGTCTTGAGTCACAAACTCCTATATATTGTCAACCTCACTTTTTTATGCACTGTCCATGACTGACATGACTGAATATCTTAGCTGTGAAAACCTAACAAGAATAACAATTAGTGACCTTCCAAAGGATCTTTCATTATTAAGTCCACTCACAAACTAAAAGCATGAGCACAAAGTTAAGTCACGATTCCATTTTTGTCTTTGAATAACACTTAACCGAAAAGGTAATTTTAATTTATGACTATGACAAATGATGGTAGTGGAGGCAGCTTGGCCGAGCGGTTAGAATGCTAGATTTGTAATTCAGAGACCCCAAGTTCAAGTCCTGCCCTGGCTGCTAGCTGGATTTGTTCCCTGTAGTCCCAAGTTCAAATCCTAAGCCACTCTTGTAAATATAGCCCACTTGTTCGTTTCCTACCAGTTGGGATTTTTAACCATGTTGTTTCATTTAGATTATTTGTTTCATTATCCCTGAAAAGCACCATAAGGGGAGAGGATAATTAAAGTATAATTATTATTATTATCGTAAGATTTCTTTAGGATTGACTTGCTCAAGATCCAGTCACAAAATAATTAAACAAAGTTTGCTTGTAAAAATATCTTTATATAAATAACACATGTGTCTGTGACGTTTTCTCTGACAGTCCACTTAAGACAGACACCCACTTAATACAGTCACTATGGCATGTCCCTTTGGTCACTGGATTAACCAGGATTCACTGTATTGATATTTGCAGAGTTAAGGCAGAGAAATGCTGTGCCTAAAGTTGAGGGTCCTGGTGGGGCTCCATTGCAACGCACCATCTCTGAGCCCTCACTGGCAGAGGCCGTCACCTCACAGCTCAACCAATCAGGGACCTCCAATCAGCTAAAAGAACCCTTGGAAACACGAAAATCCAACAGCCTCATGAATATATCTTCTCCATCTTCAGGTAGTATTTGTTCATTTTGTTTCTTAATGTTTCATTAATTTTGTAGTCCCACTTGACACAGTGAAATGTTATTGGCATTGAAAGTGACCGTGCCTTTGTGGATAATGTTAATTCAGTTGTAGCAAATTTAATTTCAGGTAAGACATTTGGTTATGGTATGTTAGGATTAATTTATTGCTGAGGCAATCCCTAATGGCTTGGGAGCCGGGGATTTTCCCTTGCTATTACAAGCATGACCCCCCGGCTACTTTCATAGGGGAGTCCTTCTTTAGGGAGAAAGTTGTCTGTAATAGAATGTTGTTGTTTTTTGTTTTTTATCATTTTGATAAGATGCGTCTTTTCTTCAGGTGCCTTATCTCCAATGGCACAGGGTTTGTTACGCCCTCCTGGCTCCCCTGTGCCAATACCTAAACCAGCAAAACCAATCTTGCCACGAGAAAGAACTGCAATGGATAAGGTCTGTTTCTTGTTATTTGCTTTCTTTTCTGGTTGTTAAATTCATCTGTCTGGTCAGTTTTCACCACTTTACTTGAGTTGACTGTGTTCTAAATTCATGTATCATGCAAGGAAATTTCCGTTGGCATTCTGCATGAATTGAGCAAGTACACATACTTTGTAAGAAATGTTTATCTCTCACATGATACCAGACTCATGGAAAGAACACTTGTACTGCAAACTCATATGTAAGAGAAAAAGGAAGCCTTTATACGGCTTGGTGGGGAAGAAAATGTTTTGGTCTATAGGCCATTTCAGACTCGACTTCCAAAAACTCTCCTGTTCAAAACAAGACCAAGTGCAAAACCTTTTAATTGAATTCTTCAATAATATAAACCAGAAGAAAACTGAGCTGAGTTAACTTTCGGGACCATTACTGGGGACATGGAAAACAAATTGGTTAACAGCTGACTGGCGTGCCCCTAGTAATGATCCAAGAAGTCTTTTTGTGAAAGTTAACCCAAACCAGTTTCCTTTTTCTTTTTAACCCTTTAAGCTCCAGATATCCACGTACAAATTCTCTAGACTTATCTCCATACATCTCCTTAAAGACTGTTGAGAGAATTTGAAAAAAAGATCAAAGAATTATCCTTTTGGTGATCATTTTCTAAATTCTCATACACTTTTCTCTTATGTGATGTATAAACACTGTTAGGAGAAAATTGATGTTGGTCACTCTTGGGACTGAAAGGGTTAAAATGGCAAATTAAAAATCACTTTCAAATCAATAGTTTTGCACTTAGCATTGCTTTGGAACAGAGGCTTGGAGCAACTCGGAAATGGCCCATACAGATTGATACAATAAAACATAGACATTTCAGGGGCACCCAACTACAGTTTCCTTCCAAATTCATTGAAAACACTTTTTAGGCTATTCAGAGTAATTTTAGGCCTCTAGAAATGCATTTTAAACAGTTAAATTTTATGCATTTTGATCCGGTCAGCGGTCATGGCATTGACATTGGAGTAATGTTTTTACAGGTGATAGAGTACCTGGTTGGTGATGGACCAAACAATAGATATGCACTGATTTGTAAACAGTGCTGTTCACACAATGGAATGGCACTAAAGGATGAATTTGAATTCACAGGTACATTGATGAGCATACTTAGTAATTTGATGTCCAAATCAAACTTTAGAATGTTCAAGTGCTTAAATCAGGAGATAAGGATTAACTCTGAGATAAGGATGCTTAACCCACTAAAGAACTTGATCACACATTTTATAGCAGAATTGAGAAAGGGCGTGCTTTATATAGTGCAATAAAACCATGTATCCTGTAACACAAATGACAAGATTTCAGAGAAGTTGAATGATATTTTTATTACAAGTTGCCTTTCAGAGTCTGTATTCTTCTTCCCCATCTATCATGTCTCAGAACAGAATCTTATATGGTTAGCAACTGCATTGCAAAGTGGAAGTTGGGTGCCTGAGTTATCCAGGAGCTTTCACTATTGGCAACCAGCTCCTAGATGGAGACTGTTCCCATGGCTGGCAAATCTTGGCAACCCAGCCATGAGCCCCCAGGTGCAAGGGAGAAAGCAGGCTCCCAGCACACCCTTTAGCAAGGCAGTGGAAATAGGGAAGGAAGTGGGGGGGAACCACTATAAACTGAGTCCCCACGAATGTGAGATTCCAAGAAAGGATGGATGCATAGGTGGCGGAGCAGGGGGGGGGGGCAAAGACATTTTTTGGGGGAAGCCCCCCTGTTTTGGATATATTTGACTTTACTAGTGACAATGGTGATTAGAGCGCACATTTTCTGCCCTCAGACAACTCAAGAACTACCTAAGAAGCACCATGACGCAAGAATGCCTGAACAACTGACTACTAATGCATTGTCGCAAATCAATTACAGACACACCAGACACTATGAAGATTGCAAAGAGGTTTGCTTGTGCCAACAAACAATGCAAACGGCATTTTGGAAAATTTGTGTAAGGGTATGCGCATGACTGAGTGGAAGATAAGCCTCCCCCCTTTCAAAATGCTCCGCTGTCTCTGGAATGAATGCTCACTAAAAACTGCCCAAACACGCTAAAATGCCAGAATGCTAAAAATAATCACAAGCAAGAAAAAAAAAATGGCCAGACAAAAGGCCAGAAATCTCAAAAACGCACTAGACCATGCTACAATGTACACAACTGCAAGAGCATGTGGGATACTGGTGCATGTGTATCAGTATCTTGCAACACCACTGGCCAGCAAGATAAGATTAGTGCTCCTTGTTGTTAACTCTGTTAGATCTCATTTAACTGAATTAAAAGAGTTATCAATAACAAGTGTAAGTAGATGTAAACATAGATATTCTACAACATCATTACAAGACACTTCTCAGTATCTTGCATTGTTTCATCCATGAAGTGTTTTATCTCTTTTAGCATTTAGATGCTGCTACTGTTATCATTTAAACCCTGCAAGGAAGCAGCGCCCTACTGCTCCAAAGCTGGACTATGACACTTGGACACCTCCCAGACAAGTCTCCGGGGTGGGGGTGGGGGCAGGGGTGCGTCATCGAAAGCCATCCAACTCTGTACAGGCCATGTTGGAAAAGAATGGTGAGCATGTCACAATACAATACAATACAAGACAATTCCATAAGTTTATTAACGTGTCCCAAATTGGGATTTTTAATGTTAGTTTACAATCACCAGAAGAAAACCTAATTACTGTACTCTTAAAAAAACTAATAAAAATTATCAAGATAAACTAAAGTAAAATAATAATAATATAATAATTTCATGATCCTGAAAACATTACACAAGTCAAAGTATAGACTACCCGATCTCTGCACAGTTGAGGTTCTCCTAAATGTAGGGTCTGAGGGATTCTTCTGTCTGGTATTGTGACTGTGGATATTAAAACGCTTAACCAATGTAGGCTCAAGGTACTTTGCAGCAAGGACATGAAGAATTTAAAATAAATCTTTGATATAATCTTCACTTAAAATTAATCTTCGATATAATCTTCAAGTAATATTATGGTACAAGTAAATTGTTACGTTACAAACAAACATCACACATTCAAAATTCATTCGAAACTGCTTAAGTTAACTCTCGCTTAAAGGGGCCATGTCACAAGGATATTTCTGTTTTGGTTTAATTTCCGGCTTGAGTCATCACTTAGTGCCTTACACAAAATGCTCGGCCAATGGATTCATGGAGAAGAAATCAAAAAAATTTTATCAGGGAGCACAGATGACAAGAAACAGTTTCAACACCTTCTTTAATAACAAAATTAGACCATTGCTTTTGGAATGCAATTGATGTGAAGACACTTGAAGTTTTTGTGAGCAAACTAAGTATTAATATTTGCATTATTGCTTATAAATTGTTTCAGTGCCACAAAAGGATGATAAGAAATGTGTTATTAATGGTGACGCTGTGGTCCATGATAAGTCAAATTTAGAGGATACCAAGACAAAAGGTAGAACATTCATACATACCGGTATATACACTGTTTACAGTAGCCTGGGTGCAGACGATAACTAAACTCTGATTAGTACCGTCTGCGAAGCAGCGCAGAGATCCTTGTTCTGGACCCCCAACGGACTCAACGAATTACCGGAAGTGCGTTTCGAATTCCCCTTCAACCTTATTGGCGATCACGACAAACAAAACCAAGGCCTTTTTTAACTGGCCAATCGTGGCGCGTACTCAAATCTGGGTACACAGCTGGAAGTCCAGAACAAGGATTTCGGCACTGTTTCGCAGACGGAGTTAACCAGAGTTTAATTTCGTCTGCGCGCAGGCTATGTGTACAGGTATAAGCCATTATTACACCTGAAGAAGGATCATGAGGTTAGCCCTATAATAAGATCTCTCCTTAAGAAAACCCACCCAGCCCAGTAAAGGTTGGCCACACCACCAGGATCTATGTCCCCTACTCTTTTTAAACAGTGGTGTGGGTTCTTTTATGTCCAAAAAAAAACATATTAAGTAAAAGTGCTGTGAGACCTACAGTTTTCTGTCCTTGTCTGAGAAGACTAGGAAGTCTAACCATAATTAGTAAAGGAGACTGGTTAGGAAACCCGGCAAACACCAAAGATGAAAACAATGGTGCTTTAGTTTATGTTGGAAGCTCCCTGACCGTGCACAATCTTTTGTTTTCTGTTGACAAATTATGACTGAATAAATTAATGCAACGTTTCTATTGGTCAGAAAGTTCAAAATAATAGGAATGCTATTGAACGTTGTGCACGGTCAGGTCCAAAAAAGCCAACAAAAACCTATAGCAAAGGGTTTCCCTACCATTCCACTTTAAATTAACTATGGTCTAATCGTTTGCAGATGTCATTACAAAGGCGTAACTTTCTTCTTAGTTATTGAAAGACCCTGAGTGTTGATCCAGCCGGGGTTCGAACCCATGACCTCCCGTGCAACAGACGGTTGCTCCCCCAACTGAGCTAACCAGGTGGCAGTTAATCAAATTAGCATTGACAGCTGATCCAGGGCAGGGTATAGAGTGTCCAGACTGCCTCTAACTATGCTCATCATGCCAGATTATTATTATTATTATTATTCAAGTTTAAAATTTAAATATGTACATAATTTACAGAAATATTTGAAGAATGAAGCACTATACAACAGGCCGGTCTGCTATATTATTATCATTATTATTATTATCGTTATTATTATTGTCATCGACCATAGATGCATAAATTTTAGCTGTATTATTATTTCACAAGCTCAAATGAAAAGGGCATCAGATCTGTATCAGATGTTCAATGCTTTGTCTTCAGCTGCTCATATTTTATCTATCGTGTACATTTTACAGCATAACTATATCATATGCAACAATGGGTGGCTAGTGATGAGGGAATTCGAGCAGAGAACTTTCTGGCCATGATTATTCAAAAACTGGATAGTGCTATCCTGCGCATAAGGGTCACAGATAGTTATTGCCTTATCCGATGGATGAAGTCTTGCCCAGTGGATGTTAGCTCTTTGTAAAAGATAGATATTTTTTGAAATGGCACATTCAATACTTTGTGAAAAAATCATAGTCTTTGTTTTTTACTTCCTTTTCTTGCAGGTGGAGATGAGAAGGAATTGAAAACTAACTCGGAAAAGGAATAGTTCAAAAATAAGGAACAAGAACTTTGAAAAAATGGTGGATCTACAATTACATTGCCCTTCTGGAGATCGCCAGGCCAAAAGTTATTTATTAATATAAAAAGAAAACTTAACAAATGCTGTTGAATCTGACGAATATGATCAAGACTGTTTATTTACACCACTAAAGGGTGGGGCCTTTGGGAGGTCGTGATAAACATTTAAGAATCAAGCTCAGTTGCTAATAAACGGAGCATAAATAAGTTATTCAGTATTTAATATGAGGATTGTTGTTAGCATAAAAAGATGCAAGCATGATTCTTGTAAGCCTGAGAAGAAAGACAAAATGGAAAATGCATTTGGCAGGAAACGTAACTGCATAAGAGAAGCTCTAAAGGGGAGAGATATGTCAAGCATGTTGAACGAGAGAGTGTGGAACTCTAATAGGAGACGTCTGCACGCAGGCAAAACTCCGCATAGACTGTTCTCAGTCCTCTGTTTCTTCGTAAGATCGTCAGGATCGAGCACTTCGTCGAAGTGCTCGATTTGACAGTCGATTTGACACTCATCCCCAGGCTAAACTCGGGACATTTGAAACCAACTCCCATTCCGCAAAGCGGTCGATATTGACTATCTTAGGAGAAAACAGGGGAGTGTGAACAGTCCAATCCCCGGTTCCCAGCGTGTGTTCTATGTGGGTTTGTTTTCCTGAAATTTCTTGGAAAATTCATTCAGTTCTAACATTTTGTTCCAGGCCCTGGAAAGTCCTAAAAATATTTTTTCAGCCTGCTCGTTAGCCTGCGAACGGCAGGCATCTCTCTTCCATCATCGCTGCTGAGGGACGTTTTACACGTCCTTTAGCGGCGATGAGCGAGGAGAAACGTCTGCCGTTTGCAGGCTGCCTGCTCGTGGAATGTCAAAATTTTATTGGATAAATGTGGGGCAGGATATAGCGTTAGACTGGAGGCCTTTGAGTAGAAACATTTTCGAGTTCTGGCCTCAGTAACTGTTATATATGTGCTTTGGAAAACGTTCAAGATTGAAAATCAGCACTGAGAGTGCTAGACAACTTCTGTAACTGTTACTCACCTTCGAGCTCCTTCTCTCTGTTGTCTTTTAAGCCCAAATGCAATCTCGCTTGAAGAAAATGATGTTAGATTGTATTAGAAACTAATAAATTTAGTTTGTTCCATTATAAGAATGATAATAGTGTGCAGTTGTGGCAAATTACTTTAAGATAAACTAAAGCTAAACTTGGTGGTACGAGTTACTGTAAGTTAAAGGCCAGCTAATCAGTTTTGTCTACGCGTTGGCCCATTTACACGGTCGAAGGTGTCGAGACACTTCGATAAATGGCTCCTTTTTTGCATCGTATAGGGGACATATCTATCCCTTCCCTCTGTGTAGCCCCTCACCCCAAAACCAATGTTGCATTTTAAACCCTGTAAGTCCCTGTAAGTGGGGGGGGGGGGGGGGGGGGTGGGTTAACGGCGTTTAAAATAAATTGTTTGATAAAGGAATGAAACTGTTGATACAAGCCCGTAAGTTTGTCAGCTACTTTTGTCACTGATTGCAGTTTCTGGCTGGGTAAGAAGAAATCTAGTTCTCGGTGAATGAAAAGGTCTTTCCTTAGCTTTTTGCTGGGGCGATGTTAGCATAAGGTAGGCATAGAACATGTGGCACATGGAAAATTACGAAATCAAGTTTGTTTAATTTCGCCTAGGAAACCGGCAAGTGCGGATGACATGGGCGTCGTCTCGGAGTTGTCGCACTATGGTAAACAAGGTGTTAGTGGGGTTCGAAATTTTTCTTTTATTTTTTGGTAAGTCTATTGCGGTTCGAGGCTGATCGAGAACATTAAAGCCTTGAGTTGTAAAAGAATAGCCTCCTCCTTGATCTGAGATAAAAACAAGGAGGAATGTCAAAAAGCACGGACTTCTGTGTTTACCAAAATGACAAGTATTGGAAAGGCCAAAACAGTTTTGCTAAAGTTCAACAATAGCAAGTCACATTAATGCAATATTAAAAACCTCGTGCCGTTAAAAGGGTAATTTGTGGCTTGTACGTTAACTGTTGTTTTGTCACGTATTTTCCAAAACTCCTGAGAGCAATTTGCCAGAAGCGCCAAAACACATCCTTCACGCCGGTTAATACAGTTTTAGAAGCCTTGAAAATCGCTTAATTTTTCGAACAGTTTTTAGTCACTCGAAAGTCACAGAACTGTAAAACAAAGAAAAAAGTTTGCGTCCGGACTCTGTAACCACTGTCCATCTCACGCTGAACTAAACCATTTACTGGGGGCTCTCCTTCCCACTCTTCCGTCCTCCTATCCACGTTCGGAGAAGCACGTAACCTCGATAAGCCATCAGAACTTGGAGGAAAAAAATTATCTCGTAAGAGATATAGGTACGAGATTAGGAAAAAATGTTTTGAAAGCTAAGGACGTGCAGTTTGAAAAAGAGTGCATTTTTCTTTCGCAAGGCTTGCCGAAGGGCTCCCACCCTGCCAAACACGATAGCCAAAAAATTATGAATAAGTTGTTGTAGGAGACAGAAAAATTACATATACACCCTAGGAGCTACGTGATATACGAGCTAATGAAATGGCGACAGAAAACAAACCTGTGTTTATTCATCACAGAGTTAAAGAAAGCGTTCCGTGAGATCAGATTCAGTAAGTTTAGTTATGATATGAACTAGGTCTTCCTTTGGTCGACAGGTGTATTTAAGTTATTAGACGGAGAGAAACGGAATTAATTCAAAGGCAGCTGAAGTGAAAGGCATTGTTTTCCTCTGGCGCCCGTGAAAAAATACATACAAAGCGTATTTATGGTCACGCAGTTGGCCTTGAAATAACTAGTGTAAAAATGCTCTGATCCCGGAATGCACGCATACCATGGAATATGCTGTAGTTTTCTTATGGATCACGCTTGAAACGTAGTTTTATCGTGAGAATGAATATAACGTGTACTATGCACCCCAGGAGGCAGGAACTCCTAAGGTTTGTTATTAAGTCTGGATAATATCCAAACAGACAAGCATAATATATTCGGTTTTCCTCTCTTTCATGAGAGATATTCAATACTGCCTTAAAACATATCAAAGGAAATTTTCCTCTTTTCCGCATTTCCCGCCATATTTGCCCCACTATTTACTTTTCGCCTGTCAATCATTTGATCAGTTGCTAAGGTAACTTTAGGATTTGGCCTCGTTCCGCGCAATTCTCGTTTGTGATTGGCTGTTGTTGAAGTCCTGTTGTCGTACTTGCAAAATGGCGTCTTTCTTGAATATGACCCGCCCCAGAGCCCATGGTTGAAAAAAACACCAAAATGGAGAGGGGCGACTCGCGCGAATATCTCGCTGTTATCTTAACGATTTTCCCTCCTTCCCGAACCGATAGAAAGTGCCTCAAATTCTCTTTTCAGGACCGCGAATTAACAAGAAAATGCCTCACTTTTTGGCCTGGAATAAAACGAATTCTGTTTTCAAAGTCTCGAGCAAGGTGTCATTCAATACGGTTTGGTGCACCAAAAAAGGCCTCTTATAGGGTGTGCGATTTTCTCATTCGCTCATCACCGAGTGGTCGGCAGTTCAACGCAAGCCACAATGGCGATTGCGTAGGGATCTTTCAAGGAAACAGACTTCTTTGTTCGTTTTTTCCCGTTTGCTGAACGAAGGACAACTCTATTCGTCTTTATGGAGGAAATACAAACTAAACCCAGCGCTTTGAAGTTTGAAACGAGCAGTTTCAACGAAAGTACGGGCAAGCATTGTTTGTATAAACTAGTCGTACGGAAAATTGTATGCATATTTTAGCGTTCCTTCCACGTCTGAATCTGTTCGACAGAAAACTTTTGCTCCTTGTTGAAGGAGACTGAAATGAGATTTTCCCTTCGGTTTGGAAGTTTAGGGAATGGCGGAGGAATCAAGTAAATTTCCCCGATTTGGGATATTGAAAATTCATGAAATTTGTGAATTAATATTCGATATTCTCTTGTCGTTTCTAATTTTCGGAAATTTATTCCTTTCACAGTAGATGTTAGTGCTATCAGAGAGCACGGAAAAACTGCTAATGTCATGTTTGAAGGAAAAAACATTCACTCTTCACCGTTGGATGGGAAACTGCTTTGTAGTTACAGCGAGAAACTTTGTAAGCAACGGAGGCTCAATGGCTACGCTTTCTGTATTCGTCATGTGTTGGAGGACAAAAATGCCCCGTTTAAACAGTGCCGATTTGTGGCAAAATACAACGGACATCAATGTACGAATCCTATACCATTTGCCGAGGAAAGAATGTAAGAGTTTGTTGTGATATTTAAGCTTATTTCTCTTTCTCTTCTTTGAGTTTCAATTTTTGCTTGAACGCTTTCGCGCTTTCTTTGATGTAAACGAAGATAGAACTAATCTTCCCACGATAGAGCGACCGTTATTTACCGCTTTAAATCGTCATGTAAACGTTCTTTTACCTTTTCAGATACTGTAACAGCCATCTTCAAGTCCTGGGAATTGTTCCTAAAAAGAATCGACGGAAAAAACCCGGCGAAGGTGGTGAAGGCGAAGTGAATTCATCTCTATCGACCTCTGAATCGAAATTACGGACAGATGTTTTAGCGACTTCTGGTTCAACAAACATGTCTTCGCTTCCTCCCCAAATATTTCCTCTGCGTGCAAAGAAAGCTAAAATTGAACCACAACGAAAAAGGTATGCGAATATCCCTGCTGTAGAGGAGTTGAGGCAGAGTAGAAAGAAATGGCGCAAGGATAAAGCAGATTTATTCAAGATTTACGGTAAGAATTTTCATGTATTTTCTTAGTTTAACTAGCGAATGAAGCTTTAACTTGATTGCGTGTTGTCCGCGAATACTTTTGTGCAACTCGATTAGTTTAGAGCACGAAATAAATCTATCATGTAAGCTTACATTAACATTGCACCTCAAGCCTTCGTTTAAAAACTTGAAACATCAGGTTTTTCCGTGTGCTTGCCAGATATATTTGTTCTAGCATGCTAGAGATCTTTGTTAAGACTATTCATAAATTTGAAGTCACATTACAAACTAAAAATATTCTATTTCAGTCGGTAAATGAAATGAACACTGCATGTCGGTTTCTCATTTTATATTTCGACGGTAGATGTTATGGTTAGTAAAACATCCACCAGTTTAAAATCCACGTTTCTAGAGTTTTAGTTGATTTTTGTAGGGTGGCAAGATTTAGCTTTGTTCTCTTTTTTGGCACAAGGGTTATTTATGAAAATTCATGTGATAGTCATAGATATAATCATATGAGTTTTCAGCTTGGCAGTTTTCAGTTTAGTTGAACTTTAAAAATAAGCTTAACTGTACATACTATCGTATGTTTTTTTACTTTGTTTTATAAGATGAGACCTTGAAAGAAATTTCTTAAAGACTTTTTTCCGTGAAATCAGACATAACTTTTAATAAAATTATATGCTTTTCAAATCCATATATTATATATGCTCAAAATTTACATAGAAGCTAAAAAGTTCCCTAAAATACCTATGTGCATGTTTTGTTGTCACAGCTTTTTTACGCACATTTTGTTGTTTTATGTTTGTTGTATACAATGTGCAGAATGCTTTCAGTCGTGTTCAGATAAAATAGTTTGCAAGAAACTATGTTACCGTAGAGTCAAAAATTTTAACCATGTTGCGACCTTCCCTGTGTGCCAGAGGTTTATTTTTCTTACCTACTGAATTTCCTCGAATAACAGCCATCCCTTGATTAACCACTTCCCTTGAATAATCGTTCCCCCCTTAGACTGAAATACCGTAACATTCTGAAAATAAGCCCCTCCAAATATAAGCCCCCCCAAACCGGTAACACCAGAAACCCTCCGTTAAATTGCCCCTTCAAATATAAGCCCCCCAGGGGCTTGTACTTGGAAAATTGCCCTCAAATACAACGTAAAACAAAGCAAAAACGGTAAATTTACCTCCAATTATAAGGCTAGCCCTATCGAGTTTGAAACACAAATTTCCCTCCGTAGATAAGCCCTTCCGAAGATAAGCCCCTCCAAAAATAAGCCCCTCAAAAAGGGCCTTGAAAAATGTAAGGCCCGGGGCTTATTTTCAGAATTTTATGGTTTTTAATAAAATTGCCTTCCTCGATTAATTACCCCCCCCCAACCCTCTTGCCATCTCTTTCCTCTATGCCCTCTCTGTCAAGTTGAAGTGGAGTTTGATTCAAGCTCTGATGCCGAGGATGTTACTTGAAGGCAAAACATACTGTGAGAAGGCATCTCACAAAAAGCAGACAATGGGTGTCTAGGAACGTCTTCTGGGCTATGCCTCTTAGCATAATACCTTTTTATGTCTTGTCTTTCTGTTGTTTGCTTTTTGTGTGATACTTCGAAGTGTTACACCTTTTTGTGTGATACCTTTTTGAACTTGTGGATTCCGCGTAGCATAAGGAACAAGTTATTGTGGGCACTGTGATATGCAAATGTGTCACTCAGATGTAGACACAGGGTTTGCGCAGTCTTAAAAAGTCCTTGAATTTTAGGGGAAGTCCTTGAAAAGTCCTTGAATTCCATTTTTCCTTGAAAAGTCGTTGAATTTTCTCCAACTCTGAATGCAGTGGCCTGAAAAGAATGTTTTGATGCTTTTTGCTTGGCCAAGAGAGAATATAAATCATAGCTCAGAGAATTTAAAGGTTTTTTACATAAAGTACTCTATGTTTTATGCAATAATTAACTATCAGTTTGAGACAAGTGGACTGAAAAATGTAGAGAAGTTGGCAAAGCAAACAGTTCAAGCCTTAAAGTCTTATTAGAACAGACTGGGAATGTACATTTTTGTACAGTCTATGAAATTATATTCCTAGTAGGTGGTCCTTGAAAATCTAACGTGGTCCTTGAAAAGTCCTTGAAAAATGGTTGCAATTTTTTGTATGAACCATGGTAGACACCTGTCGTAAATCAGTCAGCTCTGCACGAAAGCCCCTGATATCAAAACGACAACTGTCGTAGATCGTTCCCATTCCATGATGTGCTGATTTTGTACATTTCACAGGAGTCACATGTGTCTTTATGTGGACTGTGAAAGTTTTAAATTAGCATTATGGCCAGCTTTGAGACAAAAGTTTATGAACTTTTGAAGCTTTTTGACTCGTTCAGGTGATAAACATGACAAAAAGATCAGCAATTGCTCTTCGACTCCTCGTGAAAATTCTATTGAATTTTGTCATAGATATACCTTCATACATGGGTCACATTCTGTTGATCATGTCTGAGTATCATGTTAAGATGCAAGCTGGCATGTTTTATTTTTTGATTTGTCTTTTCTCAACTTAGCAAGATCAACTTCTTATACTTCTGAAACCTACCTTATATCTAGCCCTTGAAAATAGCTCTTTTATCCGCTTCTTTGTCCCCTAAATGAAAGAAAATTTGTGTAGTGTGCAAAGCACTGGAAAAGGTGAAGTTATTATACATTCATGTCAAGAGGAAAGTTTGTATACAACTTAGATTTTTTTGCTTAATTTTAGATATTAACAGTTCTGATGGAGAGAGTTCAAGTGAAGGTGATGAAATGCCATGGCAACAGATATGGCTGTCATCTGATAGTGATATTGATTATGATGCACTAAGGAGGGAAAATAACACGAGGGGTAAGTTCTCACAAATGGTTTCATATGAGTTTTTTTGTAGTGGATTCAGCAAGGAACCTGAAGGGCCCTTCATGTATTGAGTCACTCTATAAATTGTTTAATTGACTGGGAAATAATTCTTCGTAGTTAGTGAAGCGAACAACTCAGTTGCCGATGAATGGCACTACGCACGTCTATGAGCGAGGGACGTGACAATTTTGCCATGTTAGAAGACTGGCTTTTCCTTTAAATATTTCCTTCTATTTAATGCAACACACGCCACTTTGGAGGTCTAAATTTCGGATACTGAGGATAAAGAAGACATGGAGAAAAATAGGGACTCTGAGAATTTCGCGCACAATGCACGAGTTTAAAGCTTCACCGGAACATCCCATCCGGGAGCTTCACAGAGAGCGACCTGAGGAAAATAGGAGCTATTACTGACAACGTTTGGTGACTGAGTAGAGCATACAAGTGTAGCCCACTTCGAGGTTTCAGGGGGTTTGGTTTTGTTTGTATTTGTATCTTGCTAAGCTTTTATCATTAAATTTGTACATGATCTTGTGATCACAATTCTGTGTTTTCGCCCATTCAGCAAGCACGCTATATTGATGTCAGCATTCGCGAGTTTCAGAAACAAGCCTTTGAAAGTTTTTTAGCTCTCGTGATGTTTCTTGATATTTCTTTTACCATTTTATGAAGATGTTAACTGAAGTCACCGCAAATTGGAAACTTGAAAAAGCGTATAATCCATTTATCTCGAAACATGACACACATGACTTATACGACCTTTATTTTCGTAAAGGTGTTTTGAATACGAACGAACACAGTCAATGTGAGGGGCAAAAACAGCATTAATATAAATGAACCATAGGGTTTTAACTAATATAAGGGTCAATTATTGTGCATTGAGATGAATCGCTTGAAAAGAGAGACTTCGCTTGAAGATGTGATCAGAAGTAAACAAAGGCATAATAGTGCGTCACGTTCAGTCTTTTTAATATGCAAGGAGTCACTGTGAATAGTGTTTCCATATTGTTTAGCTGGCACAAAAACTTCGGACGAGTTATAAAGCGGCATAGTTATCTTCCATGAAGAAAAGTTTGTCTTGGGTGAGACAAACAGAACTGGAGCGAATTTTTAACTCACATCGGTATCAGGTAAAAAATATGTTATCGATCGTTTCATCTATTTACATTGTTTGAAGTGTGTGCTGGTGAACGCAACATGCGAGCGAGAAGTCTTTAAACTTTTTTAGGTCTCAAAATGCGAAGGATTTTATTCCTTTAAGTTAGAGAAAAATACCATGAGGAAAATCTTAAAACTGAATATTTTTCTTCTTTTAGAAAAAATAGTGCGTTTTCTTGTAGACTGTGGACCGCAAATTAGGATCGCACTTTTCACAATCATGCGAATTCCGAAGTTCAGAAGCCAACCGACGATTGCGTTTTTCGCTTCTGTCAATCATCTTAACGGACCTCTTAGGAAACAAAACTCTACTTCACGGGTTCAAAAGGTCATGGTTTGTGATTTGTGGATTTCGATCCGTTTTGTGTGTTTCTCTGTTTCAAGGTTCGTTGCTTTTGATCGTAATTATGATTGACGGCAGCGATAAACACAATTGTGAAGGTGGCTTTTGAACTTTAGAGTTCGCATGTTTGTGAAAAGCGCAGTAAAGTCTCCGTGCAGTCAGTGAGGCCCCTGGATCAGGCGGGATCAATGGGCAGTTAACTGTCTGTTTTAGTATACTTCTGGTTTTCATATAATACAATATTTCTGTCTAGTGTAAATCAGCTCATTATACTCGTAGACCGACAACAATTTTGGGAATTTCCAGTTACGTCACGTTATACTGTCACGCTATATTTTGAGGCACAGAGGGATTAGGGGAGGGGTACCTGGAAATAATGCAAATTGTTTCCTGCTTAGAATTAATGGCTAACTTGTCTATTTTTATTCATAGTGGTGGAATTTAAAAGTTATTATACAGGCCCCACTTAAAAATGGTACTCTTTTTTTTGGGTTACGAAAGTCTTTCAAAAGGGTACAATGTTTTGAATGAGTTTATGTTTCAGTCTCACATGAGGTTCTGTCGCATGCAGTGGTTGCCAACAAGGTTTTATGGTAGCCTGAGTGTGTATAGCCGCCCCCTCCCCTCAGAAAAAATAGCCCCTTGGCAGCCCAGTTAAAAATCGCCGTTCGGCGATTCTTGTTTATTATAAATTACATTTAGCAAATTTAATATTTGTATTGAATTCTCGCATATTCTATGTAACATGTTTGTCCTAATTGTGCACAAAGGACTTTGCTGTTAATTGGTTATATGTCAGTTAAAATGATATAAATATATGAAAATCATATATAGGAACTGAGGGGTGAAGAATTAAATGAAACAAAACCATAGCAGTGAATAGATGCAACTTTCGCAGTTCAAAAGGAAAGCCTGAAAAATTTAAGCCTTTTACGGGATTTGAACCCTTGACCTGTGCAATACTGCTGCAGTGCTCTTATCAATTGAGCTAACAATCCGACTGGATGTAGGTCTGAGTTGGTTTGTTATGCATGTAAGCCCTTGGATGGATGACAATGAAATAATGAAAACATGAAAATTATATTTATTATACGTAAACACCATTTAAATACCAGGTGAGCTTTTGTGTGAAAATATGATACTTTCACACATGGAAATAACATGTTATCTTCACATGCGGAAAGATCATCATTGCTGTGGCTACATGATCAATCGCGCCTTTCACAGAAAAAATTATTAAAGTGAAATGGTTTAGTATTTAATTGGCATTTATTACATAAATAGAACAATACATTACATGGCTGCTTGGAGATACAAAAGTTTTCTTCTTGTGTTTCAACACTTGAAGAGACAATTTGTCTGCACAGCCATGTAACATCCTCTAAAAATTGTTAGCATGTCAGTTATTAGCAAAATTTGTAGATGACATATCAATGTTGAAAAATCTTCAAAATGCTTATTTATTTCAGTCTTGAAGCTGATATCAGAACTGCTAAGATTTCCAGACTAAGCACACAGTTACGGCGGCAGCTTCACCAACTCAGGAGAACACTACGGACCCATCATTATCATCACAAGGATCTTGTGGCATCTGGAAGTGTCCTAGTTAAGGCTGTTTCCCGTAACAGCTCAGCATGTGTGGATTCCTTATTTGAGAATAGCAAAAAATCCAGGAAAACTAGGTGAGACTTGTCTTGCCAACTGGTGATTTCCTTTTGTGGACAGAAAGGCTGTGCTTTAGCAGTAGCCGGTGTCCCCTGGGACCTAACTGTTGCTCCTAGGCTACTAGGAAATCTCATAGGATTTCATAAGTTCAGAGCACTGAGTCCATTTAACTTTTCTTAGAGCACAGCCTTGACAGTGCTTGTATAATGGCACTTCCAAATTTCATTTTGTAAAATGTTTAAAAACAAACAGCAGGATGTAAAGACTGTGCTGCCAAAGATATTTCATGTGAATGGTCATACCATAGGATTCATCCACTGATTCAAATGTTAGAACCACAACACAAAATGCCATCATTCATTACTGAGCTATGTGTCAGGTGCTGATTGGTCAAGAGCAGAAAGTGATGTGGTGGTGGCACAAATGTTTTCTTCTTTCTTGCGCATGCAAGAAACTTCAGTGGAAGTGGGAATTAAGAACAAACAGCAAGCTCACCTTGCCTATTTCATTTTGTGGCAACAAAACTCTGATATATTTTTTTCCTTTTTTGTCCACAGACCCAGACCAACAAGATGCTTGTCAAAAAGTTGTGCCTTTTCACAAGATGATGTCCAGTGCAATAAAAAAGCTTTTCCATATACCAAGTTCTGCAAGAATCGTATCTTTTTATGAAAATTAACAGTCACTCTATAGAGTGCTCTACTATACTTTGTTGCATCTCTGTTTGGATTGTTGTGAAGGTCAGCTTCTATTACTAGTCATCTGTATGTATGCAAATGTTTAAAAACTGTCCGGTGATAAAACCTTTTTGAGGAGGACAAAATGGTGACTTCTCTTTTCCTTTTGGAGCAAGGATTAAAACTACTTCTGATCTTGGCCCTTGTGATTCTAGAGATTACTTCCTCTCATTCAAGTGGCTGAAAGGTTCTTTAGTCCATATTACCATAAGCGTCCATTTCAGAGCTGGCATTAGGTCTAAAGCCTAGAGGGGGTAGTAGGGTTGGGTAGTTTTGGTAGGGTTGTGCTACCAAGTCCTGTAACTCCTTACTATTTAAGATTAAATCTAATCATTTTGCATCCCTTTTTAAGACAAGCTAGACCTTTTTTGTGACCCTGATTCATTTCATTTCATATACAGAATCAGGAGCCCATTTCCTGATGTAAAAAGTCTTTTTTTTATTAGAAAAATAATTTTTAAACAACCGTTGGTATTACACATTTAGACCATGCACCACTGGGATTCATATCCTGTTCAAGGCTTCGACAAGAGCCCCAAAACCATGCTTTGTCAGGCAGCACATACCTGTTTAGGTCCAATAAGGGAGTGTCCAATGAGGTCCACATTAAACTCTCTGGTAGACACCATTGTACCCTGCGAGCAGAGGCTACATTTTTCCTGCGTGAGCTGTCTTGTGAAAAGTAGCCTCTGCCGACAACCGTTCAAATCTGTCCAGAAATCTGGACAAATAAATCTAAAAAAACGTTTTTTTCCTGTTTTAACCGGTGTAGATGATTGCATGAGTCTTGCGTAGCAGATCAGAGTTGTTGCAATTTTTTTATTCCCACGAAACTTGCGCCATTTGACGACAGACCATGCCGATTAATTTTGCTTGTGAATTGCGTGACAAATTTTGTGCTTGCATGATAGAAAATTGAACAATTGTTGGCATAGGCTACTTTTCACATGCCGCATCAGACAGTGAAAATGTAGCCTCTGCTCGCAGGGTAACACCATTGAGTCTGACACTAACATGAGACGGAAAAATGGATTTGTACAAATTTGCTCCTTGCAAATATATTGCAAATATATAAATACTGAGGAGTGAATTCATGCAAACATGGTAAATGTCACATTTGCCATGTTATTTTTAACCCCGTTTTTGGTACGCAAATGTGACATTTACCATCTTTGCCATATATTTACTCCTCAGTATTTAAATATTTGCAAGGAGCAAATTTTTGAAAATCCATTTTTTCATCCAGTGATAAATGTCCGACTTAAGGCGCTTTCCATTTGTCAGAACTGGCTGGCCGGACCATTGCTGGACCAGTCATTTAGCAAGTGAAATCGGCCTTTTCCAAAGGGTTTTTGCTAAAACACCATCACCTTCTTGTGAGCTATTTAGGATTTGACTGATCTGGCTGGATAGTTTTGATTACAAGTGAAATTCTCATCATGACTGGAAAGGTCTGGCCAGTCAATTCTGACAAATGGAAAGCACCCTTAGAGAGGTGTCTGTTTCAAAGAGAGTCGAAGAAAAGGATTACAGTGGAAGTATATGTAGCTCCAGGTGTCTATTTCAGCGAGGCAGGAGTGTCTGTTCTGTTGTTATGCCGATCATCAATCATAATCAATCATTGACCAAAATCTTTAAGCAATGCTATAATTGATTGTGGAAAAATGTTAAGTGGATTATTGCACGATCTGAAAATTTTTTTCGGCTAATATGCAAAAAATAAAGAAAAAAGAGAATTTGATCACCTGAAAGCACAGAGAAATTCTGAGCTGAGTGGTGCACAGTCAAAAGACTTAAAATGTTTGTATAACATGTACTCTGACTTGCACAAAGGTGAAAAATAAATGGAATTCTTATAAAGAGATTTATCTATGATGATCCATCAGGTTGGTCTCTCCAGTTATATCTGATGCTTGATTATGAAATCTCAACTGATTTCCAATGCTAGTATGAGGTCGACAGTAGATAAATGTACATTGTATGAAAATCTTAGTAGTAACGGATGACTCTCACTCTTTGTGTGGTCATATATATTTACTTATACCACTATTTGCTTGTATTTCCTAATGTTAAGGTAGAATATTAGTTGTTTGTTAACTTAATAAAAATAAACAGACATAATGAATGATGCGAAGCAAGTCTTGTATGCCCAGTGCACTGCAAAGTGGCCTGGTGGACTCCAGTGCTCTGTACCTGTGTTTGATGTCATCCACGAACGACCTCTCTGTGATGAACATGCAAGGAAAAAGGTGCAGTGCATAATATCAAATACAGATTTCTTTTCATGCCTCCTCATTCTGTGAGGGGAATTTTGTTACACCACTTGTGGGCACAAATTTGCTGTGCTTTACAATCAATAAGAGAACAAGTCATACATGAAGATGACCCCTGCTTACCACTGACCAAGGCCAAACCATAGATTGTTTTGTGTGTGTGTTTTGTAACATGCCTTTTAGGTAAGAAAGGTTAAAAAGTCGCCAGAAACCAGTGTTTTAAGAAAGTGGTGTCTGAAAACTAGTGGATTTTGCTTTCAGGCTGGTGAATTCTGTTCTTAACTTGCCTGATAGCCTGCGTGAAAGGAGTTTGAAGGGGAAAGGAATTGGGGGTGCGTGAGAAGTGTGAAAGAGTCTCCCTTGGGCATAGACTCGCACCAAAATATCTTCCCCTTCCCTTTTGAACACCTGCCACGCATGGTACTTGCCTGGTAAGCAAGTGACGTTTTTGGGGGAATTCTAGCCAACTTATATCCAACGCGCACTCATGGAATAATTGTTAAATACACCTTGTTTGCCCCCTAAAATGTTTCATAACCTTTGTTTTTAATTTCTCCTTGGTATTACATTTGTCCAGAGAGAAATTGAAAGCAATGCTTGTGCAAAATGTTGGGGGACAAACAAGGTGAACTATGTCCAAATGAGAAATGTAATAGAATTTGTATTTATTATTATTTTTATGTAAACATTTTAATACTTTACAGGCCAAATTTCAAGAGGCACAAGAACAAGCACAGGCAGCTGCTGCAGCCGCAAAATCATCTCCAGGGGTAATAAAACCACCCCCTAAGAAACCTCGCCGTAAACCCCAGCCAAAGGCCCCATTACTTCAAAAGGTGGCAAAACAAGCTAAAAGGGTAGCCAGTAGAAAAGCTGCAGCCCCAAGGTCAAACAAGGCACAAGTAACAAAGGCTCAGCCAAACAATTCTCAAAGACCTGTTGGTTTAGACGGTACATTTAGTCCGGACAATTCATCCGATATGTTATCTCCAGATGTTAGTCTTTCATTATCATCGGACTATTCACAGGGCAGTGCCTCGTCGCCCTTGTCCCCAGTACTTGAAGACTATCAGCAGTATGGCTCTTCAGTGTTTGGGACGCAGCAGAGGGACAATATGCTACTTGGGGATCTTGACAATGTGGAGAGTCTGGACAGGGACTTCCCTGTTGTTTCTAATGGCAGTTCTTTGAAGGGGCTGTATTCTCCAAAAAGCAAAGGTAGCATTGGGCATTCTATTCCTGCCTCTGTAATAACCCACACTCCAGGCCTTGTAAACAGCAGTTTAATACTTGGTGATCAGAATGACACTAGGACAAAATCTTCACCGCTTAATAGCAAGAGCAAAAACCCTAAACCCAGGGAAACTAAGAAGCTGCAGAACATTGGTGGTACGTCGTTACACTCTGTGACAGGAGTTCTGTCACCTCATATTCACCACAACAATATCAAGGAGGAGAACAAGAAAATTAAACAACTTGCTCTTAACAAAGATCCCATGTTTTCTCCACCACACGGACTTCTTGGCAGCAACGAGCTGAAGAAACACAGCAATGGAGTGAGCTCTGGTCATCTTCACTCTCCGCCAATGACAATGGATGCCATGTTATCTCCTACACCGAGAACCTGGTCTGCGATTGTAACGAACACTTCGCCTGCTGCATCTTCATTCTCATCACCTCTAAATTCAACACAAACTGGATTATCAAGATTAGCATCACCACCCTTCTCCCCAACCTCAATATCCCCTCATATCTCACCCCACACGACTCTAGGCAATGTGTTCACATTTGACAGAACCTCGCACTTTCAGCAGTCACACATCACATCGCCAACACTGAGCCCCGCGAGTCCATCATTCCTTCAAGGTCAAATAAAGCATCCGGGACCAACGTATCCGCGTCACAGTGACCTTGACAACTCTGATGATCCCTTTCTTTCCCCATTTGACAGGGATCAGTCTTTATTTGGAGGACCTTTCAATCAAAATCACGACTCCTCCTTGGGTGACCTTCGTCTAAGATAAAGAGGGTACAAGGAGACGGTGACCGGTCGTTTCGCCAACGAGAAGATGTTATCATAACACATTGGCGAGACGACCTAACACGTCAGCGAAACGGCTTAAGACGTTGGCGAACAGGACGTAGGTGCAACGACTGGTTGGCGAAACGACCGTAAACCAAGGAGACAAAGAAGAAGCTATATCAAAGTTAGTTTACAGTGTATTTTACTAAAGAGAGGGAATAACTACCTTACGGCCAGTGCAGTTTAACCTTGGCCAAAAAAACGTATGTGATGTTTTATATATTTGTTTTCTCCATGCGGAGGATAAACCTGGCACTTATTCCACTCATTGATCAATGAACAGAGTATTGTCTATAATATGTAAAAAAAGACTCGATTGTAAATATTTCGCTCGTACTTTCCTGATGAAACTTATGCAGACATTTAAATGGTAAACAAACATGATTTTGGGGCCTTTTACTGCGTTAAAGCAACATTTGCCATAAACAGGAATATTTTGAAAGTAGTTTTGACCTGTGTAGCTGCAAGTCATGGGAATCATTCAACTGTGGTAAGATGTTAACATTCATTCTGTGCTACAACTTCCATTTGCTAGAATTTCGTATAATTAGAAATCGCACACTACTGAACTGTATCTCAGGATTTTTATCATAGTTACAGACGCACGTTTGGTTTCTGTTAAGTGATGGTTATCCTTACAGCACTAAAAAGAACAGCATTTTCCTTTTAAAATGTCTCTTTTCTCCAATGCTCAAATGCTCTTTATACAATTATGAAATAAGTGTTTAGAAAGAACTGGAAAGCTTGTGTGAACTCGGGAAATGTTTTCTAGTCGGACCATGGAAAAGCGAAACAGGCAGTCTTAAACTGTAGTTGCTTATGTTAGGGCTGTTTATGCAAGATAACTCGTAGCTTAAATCAGGCTCGAAGGACCAGATATCGTGGAATGTTAGCAACACACTCGAACGCTGGTTCGTTTAACAGGACCATTTGTGTGGTTTGCTAACGGTGTTATCCAATCTTATTCGTTCGAAGTTATGTGTTTCAATCTACGGTAGGTAGTAACGCTCGAAACTTACGAACAAGGAACAGAAAGCAATTTATAACAACTATCCAATACAATACTTACGAGTCAAATTGGGAGTAGTTGTTGGTACTGACAGTAAAAGGGACCTTACGAAACTACGACGGCGACGGCGACGGGAACGCCAAAAAAAGTAATGGGTCTAACGTGCTAAACAGTAACTCTGCACGTGCATCACGCTTTTTTGGTGCATTTCTTTGCCGTCCTCGCACAAATACGACGTGAAATGACCAAATTTTAAGTTTACTTGAGTTACGGGAACGGCCAGGCGATAAATTTTACCATTTCTGTCTGAACTCTGGCGCAGTAGATTCCCTTCTTTTAAGTAAACGGACGACTTGGGATAATCGCGAAATAGTCTGAAAGGATATAAAGTCTATTTTTTAGGGACGTCTTCATGGACGTCGCCGTTTTCGAATCGTAAGGTCCCTAAAGACAACGTGGTCACGAGCTTGTTTTAGTCCATTTCAAGGCTTTTGCACCAGTTTACGACCATTTGTAGTACCTTTTGACAGTTGGAGGTTTGTTAAACTTGAACTGCACTAGCATTTCTTCCACTCCTCCTTTGAAACAACTCTGGTTGACTACTTCGTTTTTGTGACCAGATACCATCATTATTTTATCACGAAGTACCCACTGGAGAGAGAAAAAAATTTAAATTTTTATTTTGCTGAATGTTTGTAAGTTTCCTTGCTAAACATGTGATGTTTTTGCTTAGATCTACATAACCATTGTAATAAGATGGACGAAGCACTAGTTATACCACCCCTGAGTTATGCCTTTTACAGTTTGCAGTTGTAGGCTGAGTTGCCTAGCCTTTGAGTAAAAGTGAGGCTGAGGTTGACCTTGTTTTGATACAAACCTCCTTTGTTTTCTTATGAAAATTATGCTTGAAAAATACTAGTTAGTTAATAAACAACATGATTTACATGGAACGGCTGTATGAAAACAAGGTCAACTTCAGCCTCATTTCCATCTGTGAAATATCACTATTTCCACATAGACCATAATGCACCTTATTTACCCCCCAAAAAAAAAAAAAAAAAAAAAAAAAAATTGTATAACCGTTGTCTTCAATTTCTCTTGGGACGACTGTGTTACCCAGGAGAAATTGGACACAATAGTTATGCAAAATTTTGGGGGGCAAACAAGGTGCCTTATGGTCTATGTGAAAATAGCGAATAGACCTTTTATGCATTTCTGTAAATAAAGGCATTGTGTCAAGGCTAGGGTGAACAAAAAACGGTGATTTGTATGGAATTGTCTACCCGAGCCTCGACCTCTTTTTTGTTTGCTCACTGGAGTGGAATGTGGGAAAGGTCTATTTGGTTACTTATACTCTAACAATTTGTTTTCTTGGTCTTAGACAAAAAATCAAATGAATTCTTGTTGCTTAGCTTATCTTTAGTAGCTTAAAAGAGAAGCGGCCCTTGTTAGTTATGTCAAGTATTGCATGCTTTTTGTTTGACTTTAAAGGAGTACTCTATGTAATAGAGAACATTATTCATTTTAAGAAAAGTACAAAATCATGGCCCGAGCTTAAAATATATTTAATATGGAGCATTTGTATAAAAAAATTAAATAAAGTATTTTCTGACAAGATTACGTCTGCTGGATCTCTACATTTCTCTACATTTCACTACATTTTAATTGTCTCATTGCCAGTTTGCTAGAATTTTTTTTCATCTCAAATCAGACTGCAGGATATATATATATATATCTTTCTGAAATCACCCGTACCCCCCCCCCCCTCCCCCGCCCCCGATCAAAAGTCAAATGGTGGGCCACTTAGTCCGACATTTCCGGAAATTGTTGGGGTCTTTCTTCGGCTGAGAGGTGAGCAGCTGCGAGGGAGACTACCATGTACCTTGAATACACATATTATTCAGATATCTTATCCATGAATTTTCGGTATTGCTCTCAATAAATCTCTCAGGATTGTCTCTCATAAATTGAACCCCAGCAGTACGTATATGCATGTGATGGTTGCTTTTTGCCATATAATTGATGTGATACAGATCTAAAGAAACAATCACCTGCACCGCCAACATCTATTGATTGTAAACAAAGTGCACCTAATCTTGACTGCATCAAATTCTCAGAGGAAATAGGAGAGTTCAACTGCATTGGTTGAGGTCACACTAGAGAAAGTTTACTATAGTAAACTCAAGTTTACCATAGTAAACGGCGCCCGTAAGTGTGACCGGCATTTTTCAGTTTACAATGGTAAACTCTACCCTGGTTAATTTCCATGACTACCGCGGAAAGAACAAAGATGACCCATCACCGATAACCATCTGGTTACCAAAAAAAATAGGTGGGTATATCTCTAGTCTATCTAAACTTTGTTTGTTTTGTTGACAGTTTGTCATGATTTTTGAGGAAAGTAGTTTCAAAAGGGTCACATAACAGAATAGCTTTAGAACATCGGTGATTGCTTTTTCCACAGTGCTTGAAGGTTTCTGTTTCTGTACATTTCTTCAAACCATTCCTGGAGTCGAGGTTAAACCCACGCTTGCCTTCGCAATGCCGCTCTTTCTCTAAGAATACGTCTTCGATGAGTAATCAATGAACCTGTCACTAAAACATCTTCACTAACTCCGTATTCGAAACCAAGGTAGGTAATAAGGCGCATTCTTCTTGCTCGCCTGAGCAGCAGAATTAAAAGCAAAATGCTCACAACAGAAAACAATACTCTCTCACATTGAAGCATCTTTGTACACTTGTGAGGGTCACGCTCAGGAAGTTACAGTTCAGTAATTTCAATTTAGTCAGCTCTCATAGCAGGTCATCATTTGTTTTACTTTTCACTCTCACGTTACCGATCACGAAAAAAACGCCTGGAAAGTTTCAAATGCCTTTTTAAGTGGACCTGTCAGGTTTACTACGGTAAAGAAGACGTTCGAGACTTACCATAGTAAAGCCCTTTTTACCATAGTAAAGTCTCTAGTGTGACCTCAACCAATGTTGAGCTGTGATTTTGCATAGAAGGTCTAATTATTACTTCATGATGATCAGTGTTGTATTGAGTAGGTCCTGGATTCTTCTCAACATCTTTACTTAGTTTGAAATTCACATAATTGGTCATATGACTCACACAATTGCAAGAAAACAATGATAAAGATCGACGTGTTTTACATTATTTTTAGTTTCATTATCCTGTGATAATGCCTGCTAAAGAAAGACAACAAATAAGCTTTCTTGGGTATAGCCATTTTATTTAAGTTAATTATCTTTGGATCGCGTTTGTTATTACATTTATATCGTGCATGATAAAGTTTTCTCACCTTATTAACATAGCGATGGAGCTTTGAAGTCTTCGGTATGTCAATCATTGAAATCTTTTTGAAGACAAACTTTGATAAGTGTTCGCTTTGATTCTCGATAAATTTCACGATGGAAGGTTCACTCAATTTTCTCGATAAGTTTCACGATGGAAGGTTCAGTCTCAGAAGTGATCGTCAGAATTTGTCTCTCCAAATATTCACTGTTAAATTTTCGCTCATAAACTAGTTGGGTTGGGGGAACGTGTCGTTCCCCAAAAAAGCTATAATCTTTCTCTTGACTGTCCTCATGCCTCTTCTTTTCAAAATGGCGGATAAGATTTCAATGAGCCAGCGATATATCTCAGTCAGCGATATATCCCTAACAATGTAACGTTGAAAAAACGGACGGTCTGCATTTTAAGACCGGTGCCAGCCTTCGGCTGGACCCCGGTAATAACTGAACATGAAATGACATTTTAGTAAAAATCCGCAATTCGTAGAAGTTATTTCTTTGGTCGATGAATCATGCCAGAAAACCCCCTCTATAAACTTCCAAGAAAGTACTTATACAGGAACAAGTCAACAATGACAAGGATTACTGTCAATTAACTCGAGACGGCATATTTTAATGCCATCTGTTTACGTGAAGCATGCTTGTTTATTCATGAAGACTTCAATTCCCGCGCGATTTCAGTTTTATCTCTCAGTTTACATGCGGGCTTGGTTGGGAGTCAAAATGTAATAAAACTATGATTGGAAGGAATTTATCACGTTACGTCCATTGAGAGTTCACTTGATAATAACTCGATTATATTTTTAAAGTGTATAAAATCAATCAAACCTACTCACCAAGAGCGGCCATCGTTTCCACAAAGAAGGGACGCTTTCAGGAACTTGTCCGCCGGCTTTAAACTATCTAAATAGACGAACATTCCCCTAGAATCCTTTCAGCAAGTCAGAGAATTTCCGTTGACTGAAAACGTTCACAAACTGCGTCTCTCAGTTCCATCTTGTAAACAAACATTGCCTGGGAACGGCCGCGTTCACCGCCATACTTTTCATTGATCAAACGATCGAAATGAGAGACAACCGCCTCGCCTGACGCATGCGCAGTCGTTTTTCAGCCCTGCTGGTAAACTCGGATCTAAAACTCTCTATTACATATCGCGACCTTGTGGGGTCGTGCGGAATGTTGGGTAGGCATCTCATTATCAAAGATGGCGGCCTTCATGGCGCGTATTTTAAACAGATGAATAGCTTCAGCTCACCGAGTCGTCGGCGTCGTTCTTACGACGATTTTACCATGCCTAGAAATGCCTGTATCCACGGCGAAGTAAAGAGAAAGAACAGCTTTAGCAGAGGTAAGCTTGTATAGTGTTAATTACACAAAGTAAATACGCTCTATGCGAGGTGCAGTTCACGCATTCTTTTACTAGAAACTTGAGCTTACCTCAGTTCACATTACGTAAATGTGGAAAGCGTCAGTATGCTTTATCATGCCGCTTGAAACAAGCTTCATTCAACCTGTATAGACTTGGGACTTTTAACTGAAGTATTCTGACGAATAAAATCGGAAAAAGGCGAGCTGCATTGGCTTGCATCCAATTTCGGCTGCATGTGTTTGCCGGCCGGCCTTGTTCGGGTCGATTTTGTCGTCATAGATATGGGCCAAGCTTTCCTTATGGAAGATTTCGCTTTTCTTGTAATACCTAAGAGCTTTCGTTCTTGTTTATCCCTATAAAAGAAGGGCTTTTCACTAAAGAGCATATGCAGTGTCGAGTTGTCCAGTGTGCAATACTGTACACCAAAACAGCTTCACTGAGATAAAACGGCCGGGATGGAGAACCACGCACAGAGTTCACTTAGCTCAGATTGCAATAGAATTGAGAGTAAAATATTTTGTGGTCTTAAGTCATAAGTTTCATCTACTATGCAACATTTTTTGTTTAGCTTTGTCTGTGGAATGAAGTCAAACATATGTATATTTCAACATAGCAATTAGGTGCTCGTGCTAGCTAGTTGCTTTATAACACGGAAACTTCATAACAAGGTTCAATTTTCACCAGGAAAAAGCGTGCGGATATTCATTTACTTGTCAGTTGCTATGAACTCATGTCAAATATTGACTGTTTCGTGCACAGATTTCAAGTTTTTATTTGTAATTACTGTTTGTATCATGAACGAAATCTTCGTCACTTTATACATCAAGTCTCTTGGGTACTCGGTTAACAAAGCCTGTCTTAATTATGTTTGCCCATTTGTGGAATAAAAGGATTAACAAACCATTTCGTGTTTGCTCTTTTCCATCTCTTTCTAATCATGCTTTCTCTGTCTTTTCGCCAACAAAACAGAAGTGTTTTGCTTCAAAAGGTATTGACGTAAGTTTAGAAGGTCTCTCAGCGTTTTCATTAAAGCGCCTGCCGGATGTTTTTCACTGAGGCTTCACTCATGTTTGTCTAGTTTTGAGT